CAGCCACCCATAAAGATACTCTTCTGAATATTATAACATACGTTGCCTCCTGGAATACACGTGTGAAATATGGAGTGGTCATCGCAGCGCTAAGTTGGGAAAATAGATTCTCTGCCTTGTCAACTAGATCAACTGGTGACATCTGTGAACAGGAACACATATTTACACAGGTACACGAACAGTTAAGTTCGCACATGCACACACACACACGCACACAAGTTCATTGGTTAGATTCAAACACCAGTGCGCCCAATAGCTCATGGTCAAGTGGTTAAACAGAATGTCGCTATCAGAAGAAGAGTAAGAGAGAGAGAGAGAGAGAGAGAGAGAGAGAGAGAGAGAGAGAGAGAGAGAGAGAGAGAGAGAGAGAGAGAGAGAGAGAGAGAGAGAGAGAGAGAGAGAGCTTTTTGTTCCTGTCCACGTCACTGCACTTCTTCACCAAAGATTTCTCAAGAAGCCAGAGAGCAGTCAGAATTATAATCCAAGAGATCCAAAGTTCGGTTTTGAGCAATACACAGCTACCTCAGATAAAGCTATGGAAAGCAACGAGTCACAAATGAAAGTCCACGGCGGGCCCGCCTCTCACCATCACACTGCCCAGTCTTCTCAAGAACGCTGCCTGAAACGACAATATCGATGACATCAGCTTTGTACCAGGTACATTCTGCAATACACACATGCGCATACAGACGTACACAGACAGAAAGAACGACACACACACACACACAAAACACAGGTAAGTAGGTACTTCAGTATGCACACAAAACACACACAACCACAAGCACACAGCGCAATGCCGTAGGTACACACATATGTACGCATGCACACGTGCACACACTCGCAAACATACAAGCACACACGCACACACACACACACACACACACACACACACTTGTACTTGTTGCTCACTGCCAAAACTGGTCACGTGGGTCTCCCCGGGGGAGGGGAGAGACACTCAAAAGGAATCTTGGAAAGATGACTCAATTGGCTATTGAACCGCCCAACGGCCGACAACCTCTGAAATCCCCAAAACTCTGGGTGGACTTGAAAATGATCCCACTTATGGGCTCACAACACCTCAGTAAGTGGGTGAGGACAAGGTGCAGAAAAGGGATTGACGGCATCAGGGTATCCGTCTAGGGATCCAACTGCAGTTACCCCTGTCCCCAGTGAAGGTAATACTTGCTACTACTGTGGGTGGCTAAATCAGAGGGGATCTGATATAAGCTTCACTAGCACCATTGATTACACAAGAGTTAACCTAGCCAGAAGCAGTCCATGGTTAACAGGTATGTATACTTGAAATACAAAGTATATGAACCCTGGAACCAACAAAGGTGGCAGGTACAACATTACACCTTCAAGCAGCCGAGTCCGTTGGCAACAGACCCAACGCAATCAGGCATAAGTGCACCCACCAACCAAACTAGCTGGCACACACACACACACACACACACACACACACACACACACACACACACACACACACACACACACACACGTACACACACACACAGTCCTGTACTGTACTTGCTCACTGTCATGACTGGTCATGCGAGTCTCCCCTGAAGAGGGGAGAGAGATTCAAAAGGAATCTTGGAAAGATGACTCAATTGGCTATTGACCCGTCCGATGGCTGACACCCCTGAAATCCCCAAACACTGGGTGGACTTGGAAATGATCCCACTTGTGGGCTCACCACACGTCAGTAAGTGGATGAGGACAAGGTGCAGAAAAGGGATTGACGGCATCAACGTATCCGTCCTGGGACTCACTGCATTTTCCCCTGCCCCCAGTGAAGGTAACACACACACACACACACACACACACACACACACACACACACACACACACACACACACACACACACACACACACACACACACGCACACACACACACACACACACACACACACACCTCAGACCTCAGACCTGCCCATCGCGGAAGCGATGATAGCGAACAGCTATGCTAGACAGAGCAACGTGTGCTGGGATTACACCATTCAACAGCTTGCAAGGCTGATGAATTGACCGCCACTATTTTTAGCCTGGTATCCACCACACAGCTGATTGAAGTGACTTTTTCTAGCCAGTGAATCCCTATTTTTCATTTTTCCATTTTTTCTACACACACACACCACACCACATACTCCGGCGTACACACACACACACACACACACACACACACACACACACACACACACACACACACACACACACACACACAGGCAAGCTGGCATGCGCGCCTTACCCCTGTTGGATCATTAGCAAGAGATGCTAAGAAGGATGTAAGGGATACATCAATCTGCGAGTACCAGGCGAACACTTGATGGGTAGATAGCTTTGTCCAGACTTCTCGCCGTGCAGACTGTTCAGACTGCTTGGCCAGCAGTTGAGGACCAATGTTAGGAGAACTTTCTTTCAATAGCTTCTCTTCAGTCCGCCAGACTTCAAGCTCCGAATCTTGACACGCCGCAACATGAATAGCAGACTCGAGAAGGCCGAGCATGCGACACGTGCATGCATGGAGTGCAGGGGCACCACCACCACCAGCACCACCAGCAATGGGGTGGTGAAGAGCGACGTCTGCACGTCCATCTTCCGTCCGGCAACCGCCCAGTGAGTTGGACTCTTGGGCTACAGATCGCACACCACCACCGGCGCCGCCGCTGGGTGCAGAGCAACTAGCTGAAGTGGCAGTAACGCCGCCGCCATCGCCACCGCCGCTGCCACTCAATGATCGGTGCAAGTGATCCAGAACACTCTCCTGCATTGATCTGCACATACACACACACGCACACACACGCACACACACACACACGCACACGCACACGCACACGCACACACACGCACGCATGCATGCATGAGCACTCGAGCACAATAATACATGTACATCTAAAGTGCAGATGTTCACCTGTTTTCGCATTGCAGGGCCACAAGAAGGCGATGCGTGAAATGCAAGCATGGGCTTGTCAGCCAGCATTGCCTCTTGTACTCGGGCAATAAGTATCCAAGACAAGATAAGCTCCCAAGAGTGTGCGCGTCTGGATACCCTATTATAATGGGGTCCACCAACGGCGAAAGCTCACATTACGTGGTGTAGTGCTCCCGTTGTATGTGCCCAGGCCGTTTTTTAGCGTCCGGCTAAGTAGTAAAAATAGCACTCCCTGGCAGAAACCCACTCAGCTTATGCGAGCCATGGCAGATATTCGGACTACGCGATCATGCGATGGGCGTTGTTGTATGCAGTACAAATCGTACTTGGAACACGCGATGTGAGTTTTTTTTGCCGTCGGAGACCTCTTATGCAGAGTTGCGCACTCTTGGGAGCATACGTACTCTTGATATTACCTGAAGCTGAAGTGAATATGGGCGAATATTCACTAGAATACAAACCGAGGCGAAGTTGATACTAGACTTCTGGCTCTACATATTCACCCTCTCATCCCCAAACCCCAACAAACGAGTAATGTGTGCCCATAGTCACGTTTCTGATGACCACTGGTAAACATAAGCAGACCATTACTATCCGGTACAGTCAAGACGGACTGGCGTGCTCTTGGCTGGGTTTTGTTCAGCAATGAGGACCGATCGTGAACATGAACTGCTACATGCAGAACAGGAGATGACATTAACGTAGAACAATTCCACGGTGTGCCTTTCTTTTGTCTGGAACTCTTTATCGTGACCTTTCACACGCATGGTTTTCTGTCACAAAACTTGTTATAATGATAGCATTTTTAGGTGTTGTGTATAAGTGTCTCTGAATATTCAGTCTCCATGTTGCAATTTGTTCATCAGTACAAAGAAGATTCCTGACGAGCGTTGTGCGAAACCTAGTTCGACGCCGTCTTATTTCTCCTTTGCACCATTCCCCTTATCGTTCTTCACATCTATTTCCATCTTCGTTTCGTCTTTGTCCATCAACGGTTTGAAATAATATTTTTTAAACCGATTATATTTGTATGTGACGAGTTCAACAACGCCTTTGTGGTATGTCAATTCAGCTGGTTCTGTTCATTGCGATTTTCAATACATCATGATGTGTTCATTTTTTCTACTCCAAACGGTAGATTCCACTTTCCTCTACCAGCTCTATACCAGGTTGGAGGTTGGTAAAGGTCGGCAAAAGTTGTTAGAGGTACGGTACACGTACACGTATGACCACGAGAGCTGGTTTCCGCAAAATATTGTAACATCGATGATCCACGGAAATGGGTAGATCTGCTTTCGCGAACTTCTATTACCCTCTTTACCCTTTCCAATAACTGTTCTGCTATTTCTAGCTCTACCAAGTAGGCAAACATGGATCGCCTTAGAAAAAAGGTACAGTGTAGTGCAGTGTAGAAGTGACTGCAGTGCAGTCCAGTGCAATAGCGAGTACAGTACAGTGCAGTGTCCGAGTGCAATCAGGTCTATCCGTACAGTGCAGTGCAGCACAGTGCAGTGCAGCACAGTGCAGTGCAGGGTGTGCAGTGCAGGGTGTGCAGTGCACTAGCAGGTGCAGTACAGTCCAGTGCAGCACAGTGTACAGTAGTGCAGTGCAATGCAGTGATGAGTACAGCTACAGCCTATAGTGTATGTGTGTGTATGTTGTAGTGCAGTCCAATGCAGTCCAGTACCATAAAGTACCGCCAGAGGCCCCGTCTGGCGAGAGCGCCCCACCTTGATTTTACAGCCAAGGGAAGAAAATTGTATGGCAGAATGCTACTAAGTTTGTACGGTGTGAGGACCTTCGTGTACTAAGGTCACACTTGGTATGTTTTTTTTATGTGGAGCTCGCATCTGCTCGAAGGTAAACCGGGTACGGATTGACTGCACAACATGCAAAGTGTGTACAAGGTCCGTGTTGTATGACCTACAGACAGGAAACCACCTCCACAAGACGACCACGAAAGGACGAGATGGTGGGGCGCTCTGGCGGTACTTTACGGTACATATAGTGCGCTAGTGCAGTACGCTACGAGCGCAGTGTAGTACGCCAGTGCAGTACGCCAGTGTAGTACGCTACGAGCGCAGTGTAGTACGCCAGTGCAGTACGCCAGTGCAGCACGCTACGAGCGCAGTGTAGTACGCCAGTGGAGTACGCTTGTGCAGTGCGCTAGCGCAATGCAGTGCAAAAATGAGTACATGTACAGTGCGCTAGTGCAGTGCAAAAGTGAGTACAATGCAGTACAGTTCATGATCCGCGCCACTGCAGTGCAGTTCAATGCAGGCCGGTGCAGAAGAGTACAGTTCAGGCTGTGTTTACATGAGGCGTTTCAACCCGGGTCGAGTTTCAACTCGCCATGAACACAGATTGACTGGCGCGTTTACATGATGCATTGCGCATGACCCGGGTTGAAATTGGTTGATTGGGGGGCGGGGGGTTGAAATCGAGAAATCGTACTATCGCCCCACCAGTGGATTTCCTGCACTGCTGCAGCTAAAGGCCGATTCACAATACAACTTTCTGCGACGCGACACGCGATTTGCGACAGTTGCGACAAGAAACTGCCTGTCGCGAGCTGTCGCAATGCACCTGTCGCAGAAGTTGAAGAAAGTTCAACTTTTGCGACACGCGACATACACAAATATTAATGGAGTACAGTTTCGACCCTGGGTGCACGTGCATAGTACTACCAAGAGTATATAACCCCCCGGGGTTATATACTCTTGGTACTACCGTAAAGTACCGCCAGAGCGCCCCGTCTCGCGAGAGCGCCCCACCTTGATTTTACAGCCAAGGGAAGAAAATCGTATGGCAGAATGCTACTAAGTTTGTACGATGCGAGAACCTTCGTGTACTAGGGTCGCACTTGGTATGCTTTTATATGTGGAGCTCGAAGGTAAGCTGGGTACGGATTGACTGCACAATGTGCAATGTTTGTACAAGGTTCGTGTCGTATGACCTACAGACAGGAATCCCCCTCCACAAGGCGGCCACGAAAGGACGAGATGGTGGGGCGCTCTGGCGGTACTTTACGGTACATGTACTTGTGCATGAGGCCGTCGCAAACACGAAGAATATTGTGAACCGTGTGTCGCTGTCGCAGCTCGTCGCATGTGTCGCAAGTCGCGTCGCAGAAAGTTGTATTGTGAATCGGCCTCAAGGGGCCGGCGCAGAAAGTTGTATTGTGAATCGGCCTCAAGGGTTTGTACAAGGTTCGTGTCGTATGACCTACAGACAGGAATCCCCCTCCACAAGGCGGCCACGAAAGGACGAGATGGTGGGGCGCTCTGGCGGTACTTTACGGTACATGTACTTGTGCATGAGGCCGTCGCAAACACGAAGAATATTGTGAACCGTGTGTCGCTGTCGCAGCTCGTCGCATGTGTCGCAAGTCGCGTCGCAGAAAGTTGTATTGTGAATCGGCCTCAAGGGGCCGGCGCAGAAAGTTGTATTGTGAATCGGCCTCAAGGGGCCGGTCACAGAAGGAAAATTTGAAAAAAAATCCGTGGTTACCATGGGTATTTGCTGCTGAGCGGGAGATTTGAGAGATTTAATCCACTCGATGAAAATCACCTCGAGGCCCCGATTTTCCGCCGAAGATTATAATCATCCGCGGCTTCCATTGGATTTCTTTGAGTTTCTTTGTTTTTATTGCGTTATGGAGTGAAGTGATACTCTAGAGACTGTGCTGATGCAGCTCTGGCCCAGGAGCAGGGCTGACAGACTGCCAGAAGCGAATGGTGACAAAAAAATAGCTCGTGTGGGTGAGATTTTTTTCATCGTGTAGATCCAGTGTGGCCGTGATGAAAAGTAGAAAAAATATTCCCGGTTTATAATCTGAGGATTGTTCCCTCAATGTGACCGGCCCCTTCGATGAAAAAATCTCACCCATACGAGCTGTTTTTTTGTCACCATTCGCTTCTGGCAGTCTGTCAGCCCCGCTCCTGGGCCAGAGCTGCATCAGCACAGTCTCTAGAGTATCGCTCCACTTCATAACGCAATAAAAACAAAGAAACTCAAAGAAATCCAGTGGCAGCCGCGGATGATTATAATCTTCGGCGGAAAAAGCGGGGCCTCGAGCTGATCCATCGCGTGGATTAAATCTCTCAATTCTCCCGCTCAGCGGAAAATATCCATGGTAACCACGATTTTTTTTCAAAATTTCCCTCGGTGTGACCGGCCCTTAAAGCGATGTAACTAGTTAGCATTCAAGTGCGCTACCATCTCTTTCTTCTGGAGCCTCTCCTTTGCGCTGCTGCAGCAGCTAAAATGGTGCAAAGCCCTTGTTGCGTGCAATGCATACTGCAGTGAAAAGCCATTGTTGCGTGCAATGCTTGCTGCGGCGAAAAGCCCTTGTTGCATGCAATGCATACCACGCACAGTGCGCAACCCACCTGGGAAATGCAAGCTCTGATACACGCCCTCACGGCTCACAGTATCAGCCGACATTTCTGCCTGTCTTTTGCCTGGCTGCGGGCGGCAGCTATGTGTATTCATAGCTGACGTTCAGCTTACCACCACTACCTAGTTAATTGGCTATGGGATGTTGCCCAGATTGAGGGCCACCTGAAGGTACACCAGTAGGTGTCCAGGGACTACTGTCTGCTGCAATGTTTCAGTTTGTAGGTTACTGCGACTGATGGCATTCGTCACATGTGTATCTACATGTATCCACTACTGATGCTACTTACTGAATTGCTGCCATCATAAACAGTCGTCCCTCTTTAATCCAGCACTTTATAAACCACCAACCTCTATAAACCAGCATAACCGCCAGTGACCAAAATATCCTCTTCATGCACATTGCAGCAGTAAATCGGTTATGTTAATCCAGCACCCTCCCTAATCCAGCAGAATTTCCGTAGCACAAACGGTGCTGGATTATAACGGGACCACTGTACTGTGTTACTTGTGCAGGTACGAGAGCGGATGTTCCACAGTACAACAACTCAACAATACATGCAGTGAAGTGCAGTATGTACGAGCAGTACACTGCAACAGGAGGTAGCAAAATCTGCGGGCACCAAACTTACGTGAAAAAGTCACAGTTCTGACCATAGGTGGTGAGTGTCTGCCACAAACTCCATACAGCAGCTTGCAATGCCAGTCCGTCATCTCCCGGAAAGCCAAGCTCGCTGGCACCACATTCATACCACACATGCGCACGCACGCACACACACACACGCACGCACGCGCACACACACACACACACACACACACACACACACACACGCACACACGCACGCACGCACGCACGCACGCACACACACACAGAGCACGTTACCATGGACTTGCTGCTCAGTCTTAGTAGATACATGACTGCACTAGTTTTAAAATATAGCACGTACTGTAGAACATCTAATTATTATTTTAGCGGGTAAATTTGTTAGCGTTTTCTGAATCTGGATCAATTCGCGATGCCATATTTTAGCGATCCAAGTTTCCGATTAAAATAAATAGATGACTTAGTAGTACTGTACTCAACATGCAAAATTTCGATTGATGCGGCACAACTTTAGCGAAGACACCTTTCACTAAAACATCACTAAAATTATATTATCACCAGCGCTAAAATTAGCCGTTTTACAGTAGTCCAAATACTGAACTCCCTAATGGAAAAAGTATGCACAGGGGGTTTCTACATATGTCTACCCACCAGTTATCCCAACACACCGGACACTTGAGAAGCCGCAGAGTAGAAATGTTATGATCGAATAAATTTGAATGATCAAATATTCGGTATAATCCCAAACACATAATGCAGCTCACCTGGCGGGGACTGAAAGGAAGCGACCAATGCGACTCATCAAGTCATACTTGTTCACCTGGAGATACAAATTAAATTAGCATACAAAGATAATGGCAACATAGGCAACGGATACTACAGTACCTTGTACAATACACGTAAGAGTGTGAGCACAATTTTAAAGCTTGACATGAAGAAGACCAGGTGGATTGAGAAAAATGAAGACGTTTGAATGCCACTTTTCTGTACTGTGCCATTTATACATGAAATGTTGGCGGGAAACTGGATGGTGCAACAAAATGCAACAGATGAGGCCCGACCTCGTACAGCAGCAGAGCTGTGTTCCTTGCACAGTGTGGTGTTCAAAGTGTTAGGACCACACAGCCACAGAAGGTTGTCACATTTACAAGGCTAGATATCATTTCTTCAGCAGTGTACCCGTACATGGCATGCACCACGCACGCAACACAACAACTTAGAAGAAGTGTGGAACAGACTTTCCCCTTGTGATCATACCAACCAAAGGGCCTTCAGCAGATATGAACCAATCAATTCTGGAAACAGAGTCTACTAAAGTTTTAAAGAATTGTATAAGCTGTCGATGCATTATCCAAGTCCCCATTCCCGAGAATGCAATAAAGCTACATTAAGGGCATGTTCGATTGGTAGATCAGGATCCAGATCTCAGATCCGTCGGATCCTTCAGAGTCAACACTTTATTTTGGACCTTGACTGTTGCCATGTTGACGAAGTAATAAAATGGCGCTCACAGGTTACCCAAAAGGGTGAAAGTCGTACTCATCGCGCGAGTCGTACGAAAAGTCAACAATGTATCTCGATCCACGTGGGTGTGTACCACAGTGTGTACAAAAATGATTTTTACCCGCCACATACGTACAAAGGTCACATTTGGATCCGTTGGATCTGATCAACCCTGCTCCCCGAGGTGGGTTGACCGGATCCAAATCCAAAGGATCTGGATTCGACCAATCGAGAGGGTGCGAATCCAGAGGATCCGGTTGATCTGGATCCCGATCCTATCCTACCAATCGAACAGGCCCTACAGTAGATTCGTACGCCCAAGAATGCGGTTTTAGAGGGCCAGCCTAGCAAAGTTCTTATTTTTCAGCGCCCCAGGCTACGTTCTTATTTCGCGTTCTTACGCGTCCAACATGACCCGTGACGCTCATGTACAATGCGCTTTGCGCTACATGTACCGGTTGTACTCTTTACATGCACGTGTAGTATGTAGCGCTGCACTGGGTGATGTTTTCGCGAGGACCCGACAAGACTTTGTGGTTGCGGACTTGTTTTTCGTGTACTCGGACAAAATCATGAAGGTGCAATCCGCTTGCAAAACAAACCGGCGCTCAAATATCACGTCTCTTTCTCTCTCTCCTTTTCAGAAGATTGCATTGTAGTTATTACAACACAGTACCAAAAAATGTCGCGTTCTTAAAAATCTTGGAGTTCGTTCTTAAATCCAGGCTGGGGCGTTCTTAGATTTCCAGCCTGGACGTTCTTGGGCGCCATGTTCTTGGGCGTACAAGTCTACTGTAATTCATTGATGCCATCTTCGTTTGGTCCATCCATTCAAAGTAGTAGTACATGTATTGTAGGTTTTTCGACCAGACGGGACTACACAACGCTGGCTTGTGCGGCTTGTGCGGCTTGTGCCGGTGTCGGCAAGTGTTGTGTGGACCTGTCTGGTCGAAAAAAGAACCTTTTCCACTACCACAAGCTATAATGGTTGGGCACACTCACAAGTTGAGCAGCTAGGTAGCGTCCACTGCGACATAGCGTGTTGACAAGCTGCACAGCACTTGCCAGCGGCTGGCCATATGCCACCGTATCCGACACTACACACAACCAAGAAAACAAAACAAAAAAGTAAAGTAATGCAGGGGCGATGGTATGCATGAGACAATGGAGACCTACACTGTCAAGCCGAGCATATGTGCCGGGCTCATTATTCTACAGGCCAATGCCAGAACCAGTCTTCTTGTTAATCGGTGTGTACTCCATCCAGATATTTCTAGGTAACTGTATGGCAGCATCACACAAAACGCTTATGGCGCCATGCGCCAGACGCCCACCTTCCAGATCGGGCTTGCATTCGAAACAGGGTCCGATTCATGAGCCAGGCTTTAAGGCACACTCCGACCATGCAGCAATAGCTAGACCACACATGCCCACAGGGTCAATGAGATAATCCCATGTACAGGAGTAATTTAAAATCAAGGATGATGACTGTAGGCAGTGTGACTCTGGTGGCTATGCTAAACGCAGTATCGCCACCAGGGACAACTACAGTAAAACTTGTCTAAGACGACTACTCAAGGGACCTTCAAAACGTGGTCTATGTGACCTGGTGGGCTTATTATCCAGAGTCATTTGACTGGAAATAGCATCCCTAGGTCCTGGGTTCAGAGGTCTTCTAGGACAGGCGGTCAGTCGTCGTTTCCAAGTGGCGCCTGGACTAATACTGCAGTTGTCTCTTCACATGCTATGCCGGATTTTCTTACAGGAAAAGTCAAAAGAAAGGCTGGCAGATGCTGGCAAAGTATTAATAAAATAAAACAAAACACTACCAACCTTGCTGGGACCAAGAGACAGGAACAAATAGCTGCATCACTGTATCCAGCAGTCGGGGACATTTGGCTAGCTGTGCAGGAAAAAAGGTAATGCGATGTGAATAACATCACACACGTTGCATCACAAACTAATGTGAAAAGCACGGAAAACACAGTGACTGATCTCACTTGGGGCTGGTCGTGGCAGCACAAAAGAGCGCTGGACACACCGAGGTGCAGAGACTTATACACATACCACATTTGCCGGGATATAGTGCGTATCCACTTCCGGAATAAATAAAATAAATTTCTCGGTTCGCGTGAGACTCGGCTGAAAGCCGAGTTTTCCGCATCTGCCGTGGGAACGCCACCACCCTCTAGGATCAAGGCGCAGATGCAGCGCCTAAACGGTGGGAGGTGAGTAGATCAGACCCACCACCCAGTGGTCAAAGACCAAAATCCCATTAGCTGCATCCATGTTACTTCCGGAAATCTGCGGCTAAAACCCAGGCTGCACATTATACTAATAGTAATACGTTGAATTGCCAACGTGGTGCAACAAAAGGGGTGCACTATACTCGGGTGCAGGTTATACCCCAACAGATATGGTAGTTGTTGCAGGTCTCGCTGTCTGATAGCTATTCTTCTCAAATGCGTTGTCATTCACTGGACTTCATTGTGATCGGTTTGGCCAGTGACCCTAAGCTCCGAAAAAGAGACCTAACACGTTCGAAGCAGCTAGCTGTCCGGGGAATTAAACTATTCTATGTGACTTTATCTCAGGAAGGTGTTTACAGCCGCAGGCTTCACATGGTCACGTACCTCAGACGCAGATTGCAGAGAATGCTCCGCAATCCGCAAAAGAATGCCAAACACGGCGGAGATGGCGGTTGCGGGCAGCGCACAGACTTCTAGCAAGTAACGCAGGCGAGGTAGGAGGTTGGTCTTGAGCAGGCCCTGGCAGGATTGACAGATCAATGGAGCAAAACTCGTTCAATTCAAGAACGATGTCAATTCCAATCAAAGCATCAATTATGAATCGCCAACATGTATTTGTGGAGTGACCCGCGAGTGCGGAATTCATTTGCAATGACACGGCTATACTTCAAAGTACGTACAATGCATTCAACCTTCTGTTGCATTCCACAGCACCAATTAATGTCATAAGCTAATGGGCCAAGGCAGATACCAAGCGGACGTACCTTCACCAAGTCTCTAACGATCACCTCCTCATCAGTTGGCTCCTCTTTTTCCTCTTCCTCCTCTTCTGTGCTCTCAGTGCTGTCTTCGGGAACAGCAAGTGACTCCACTCCTAAACTAGGAAAAGCCGCCAGAACGTTATCACTCATCACCTGTAAGAAGAGCAAAACCAGGAAAAAGAAAATATGAGGAGGGCTGAGGACTCAACTGCTACTAAGAAGAAGGCTGAGAGTGATGAACTAGGGAAATAATATGAGAGAGAGAGAGAGAGAGAGAGAGAGAGAGAGAGAGAGAGAGAGAGAGAGAGAGAGAGAGAGAGAGAGAGAGAGAGAGAGAGAGAGAGAGAGAGAGAGAGAGAGAGGAGAGAGAACCACATGAGATATTGAACCCACCTGATCATACTCATTGACCAGCAAAGTGTGAATGGCAGTCAGTGCCACGGAATAGATAGCAACACGAGAGTCATCAAGAGCCCAGCGTAAAATCAACGGCAAACCGGCCTCCAGCAGCTTAGAGACCACATCTGTGTCCAAGTGATGAGCATATCCACCACGAAGGCCCTGCAACAGATTTAAAATAATTCACAAAAACATATTCTCTCTCTTAACAAGCTACGGTGACAAAAAACGACATGGTCATTGGCACCTGAATCCTACGGCATTAGCTGTGAACATTCTTCAAAGGGGCCTATTCTTGGCTCCGCATATATCACTTACCGTGCGCACTATGGAGCCTAGTGTTTCCAACGCCATGCTTTGTTGTTGAGGCATACGACTGCGAGCTAAGACAAACAGCTCTGACAGGGTATAACCGGCAGCCTGGGCACATGAGGATCACCACAGAGAAAAAACAGTGACACAATCAAATATGGAGTGGGTCAGGTACTCACCTGTACCCTACTTGACTGCTACACACACTGGCCAACGGTAGAGCTACGGGGGGGGGGGGGGGGGGGGCAAAAAGCGGTTCATATGTCCCTATGTCATCCTGTATACTGTGCCACTATCCACAATTACAAGTGCCCAAACGCCCTAAACTGATACAATCTGTACAAAATGATAACGACCACACACAAGAAATCACTGAATGCCAGTATCATTTGCCTGACGATACCTATTGAAATAGTCAATGATTGCACATGTACTTCCACACCACTTCTTATATATCTAGTGAACACGCTGTATAGCGCCACCACTCACTTCCGGTTGATCTCCGTGGTGATGCAGGCCTAGGTGGGATGGAATGCTGCTGCTCTCCTCCGGTGAGATCAGAGCGCCGTCAAAACTGAAGCGTGCTGGACATGCCTGCATTGGTGATTTAGTACATACCCACACAATCCCCGCACACGCACAAGACTGATTTCAGTACGGCCATCTGCGGGATCAGAATTTGTCAATAGGGAGGTTTAGCACTACGTAAAAACGTAACATATCTGGCGCGAGTGTTACGTTGGAAACATTTTTGTGATTCGTTTAGCACAGCGCTGTCGCCTGTATCCATGGGGATAAAATGGCGGAGAAGAACGAAGCAAAAAAATTGCAAAGAAAAGAAGATTACAAAATAAATTGTACTGTGCATGTGTCTTGCTTCGATTTTTGCGGCAAATTTGAACAGCAGTTTGTGGAGTGAAGCAGAAAAGACATTGCCATGGCCAGTGCCAAGGAGCACGAAGTTTTTGGTGATGTCGGTTCTTGATTCAGAGGACGAATCAGATTGGGAAGACATGTACTTTCTAGCAGAGGGCAAGAGGCTGCAGGAGAAGCGTCTCGAGGAAGAAATGAGGAGAAATGGTCATGGAACTCGAATAGATTTGAACAAGTTCACTGAGAGCGAGTGCAAAGAGAGGTTTCGTTTTGGGAAGGAGGACTTACGCCAATTGAAGACTCATCTGGAAATCCCGCATGAAAATGTTGCACGTAACAGAACGAAGTTTTCTGGCATGGAAGGTCTGTGCATACTGCTGCGGCGACTGGTCTACCCTAATAGACTTGTTGATATGGAGAAGATGTTCGGAAGAGGCATCAGCGGGCTTTCAGTCATCGTCAATCACATGCTTGAGTTCGTGTATCAGCGGTGGCACCATCTTCTGGACACCCTTACCTGTCCCATGGCTGAGCAATGAGCGTCTTCAAGAGGGAGCAGCTGCAATATTCCAACTCTGCCCACTGAACCAAGTATGGGGCTTTGTGGATGGGACTGTGAGACCCATTGCAAAGCCCATTGAGGGACAGCGACTATTCTACAGTGGCCACAAGAGGGTACATGCACTAAAGTTTCAGAGCGTCATGACACCTTTCGGTATAATTGGCCACCTATTTGGCTCAATCGAAGGACGTCGTCACGATGCCTGGATGCTGGAAGAAAGCAACCTCCTGCCGCAAATGGAACAGCACATGAAAAGAGATGCTGATGGAGGGTACTTTGTGATCTATGGTGATCCAACCTACCCGATTCGTCCGCAAATCATCCGTCAAGGTGCGCACATTTCCCCAGATGAAGCTGAGTTCAACAAGAGCCTGAGTCAGGTGTGTATATGTGTGGAGTGGGGCTTTGGCCAGATTGCAAAGCTTTTTACGTTTGTAGACTTTAGAAAGAACATCAAGATTCTACACTTCAACCTGCCGCCAAGTATTATAATTATAGTGGCTGCCTTATTCACCAATTGCCACGCGTGTTTTTACGGTAACACGGCTGCATCGCATTTCCAGCTTGAACCTCCATCTCTTGCTGAGCACTTGCAGTGAAATCAGGCATCAAGTACCCATGCTTGTAATCACTTCGTACTTGTAAGAAGTTGTTGCTTCCTTCAGTTTTGTTGCATGCTTATGCCTATTGTTCGTTTGGAATACAGTCTTCTTCATTATGTGAGTAGTTTGTGCTCTGCTCGGGGACCGCCGTAACAATTTTTCACCGATAACACTCAGCTGATATAATCAACAGTGCTGCCAAGCAACTGGGTCTGTTTTGCGTACTGTGATTTCTGATTTTCCGTATTTCCAGTATTTTGGCGTACTGCCAATGTACTTGCACGTGCATTGCTTGTTTTGACACTCACATGCTTGTCGGTGGCCGGCTTTGCTAGTGCAAAACATGTGGGACTTGGAACCACGACATGTCACATTTTGTGCTACGTGTAATAATGTACTTGAAGCATGGCATGCACTCGCTTTGGCACAGGGATATACAATGTACATGTGCATTGCTCAGCTTGCCATGCTTCTACATACATATCTGTAGCTGATCAATCCTGTTCAATTTTCCGTACCACTTTGCTCAAATTCCGTACTGCGGAAGAAGGATGATTATTTTCCGTACGAATACGGAAGGTTGGCAGCACTGATACAAAAGCCTAATGTTTCCCTGGTAGAAGTTCTAACTTTCCTTGGAAATTGCTGAAAAGAAACCTCATGATTCTGTCTAGCTGCAGAAATAGGAGAAAGTATGCTAAGGAGAAAGGAATACAGGTACAGAAAATGGGAAAGGTATTCCTAAAGTGCCATGTCAGCAGGCTGAAATACTAGTACACAAAATGGCTTGGAACTCACAAGGCCAGGGAGAAGCGTTAGAAGGGTCAATGCAGATCAGCTGAAGGAGACCAACCTCTTGCTCCAAACAGAACAGCACTAGCGTAAAGCAAAGATCCGGATGGAAGATAAGACATGCACACACAGACACACACAGATACACACAACACACACACACACACACACACACACACGCACACCAGAAGGGATTCCACACGCACAAAGCAAATGCAAGTACGCCGCATTGTTCGCAAGCCGTTCATCAGATCACTTCTTGCTGAGGGCAGCTGCGATCTGTGCCATGTGCTGCATTTGCTGCTGCATCATAGTAAGCATCGTTTCTTGGGTTTTCTCCGCTCGGGCATCCTTCCGCTTATTTTCCTCCTTTGCTTGCTCAGCGTTGTCCTCCTGCAGCGCAATCTCCCGCTCGCGAAGAGCCAACTCTCGAGCACGGAGAGAGTGCTCATTCGCCTTCAGCTCCTTTTTTTCTTGCCACACATCTGCCAAGTCGAGTTTTCATGTTTTGGCTGGTTGGCGAGGCGGTGTATCGTCTGAGCTCAGGCGCTTCTCCTTCATGGTCAACAGAGCCTGAGTTGTTCCCCTCCTTATCCTTCTTTCTCGCGGCTGAAGCTGCTTGTTTCATGAGATTCTTTTCAGCAAATCTGCCTCGCAAATTCTCCAGCAGCTGCTCCCTCTCCCTAAACTCAAATTCCAGGCCACTCTGCTTCCGCTGCCGGTTGTCCTCCTTGATATAGGACTCCATCAGGTTGAACGCCCTTTCCCTCAGAGTCCGGGCCGTCACCTTCGCAAATCTCGCAGGTACATTTTCTTGTAAGTTTACAGCGATCCGCTCCCAGCAGGTAGCACCACGCACAAAGGGATGGTCTTCTGCTACGACCTCCCGCAGGAACAACACATCGTCCATGGCCTGGAAATGCACTCTTCCAGGCTTCGTACCAGATGGAGAGTAGGAGTTCGACACCGGTGGGGGGCTAGAACAAGTTTCGGAGGTATACAGCGTTGCTGCACCTTGACCTGCTGCCAAAGACACACCGGTACCTCTAGACTGCGCCATGATAACTTCGAAAACACCTTGTCCTAAAAAATCAAAATGCAAATCGAATGCAAGAAGAGATGGTCAAAACTGGAACTCGGAGTGTGTAGATGCGTAGCGTTCTGGCAGAACGCAGGTAACAGCCCTGTTACGTTCGAAACGTTACATCCTGCGTTGTGATTTTGGTGGGAAACGTACTGTATAAGCAGAAATATTCGTCTGGAATTTAATTTCGTCTTTTTCGTCCAAGGAGCTTTTGGACTAAATTAAATGTAGGACGAATATCGATTTGTCCAGCTTTTCTGTACACTCTTATGATCCATGGACGAAGTTTTCAACCGGACGAACTCCTTTTCTTTGGAGTTGGACGAAATTATTGACCGACGAAATTTTCTGCCTCTACAGTAGTAGGCCAGATACGTAACGTTTTTACGTAGTGCTAAACCTCCCTACTATCTGTGTGCATTCTTTCGGAATGCCAAATATGGCACAGAGGCGTTACTTTATTCTCTGCCTTGTTTCTCGTTGCTTTTTTTGTTGATTCTCTTCATATCTTTCTTTTAATTTATCAAACAACCAGCCGCAATAGAAGAGGCTTATCTTTCATTCTGCGTCTTACAACTTTTACAGGCAAATATTGTTAGGGCCGAAACGATTGCCCATTTTGCCTTAACGATTAACCAACAACACTAACGATCGATTTATTGGTTTTACCGATTTTCCGAACAAGTTTTATACGTGTCATGTTGGACATCAGTAGACGGCAAAAACAAAATTTGTTCAACTATGTACAGGTACGTACGGGTAAAAGATCCACACAGGCCCAAAAAAGACCAAAATGAAATTTGCAACGTGATATGAGCAGTGTTCCTCTGCCATTAGGCATGAACGATCAGTCCTCTGTCTTCTACAATGGAGAAGGGTTGACTGGAATCGACAATCCAGTCGATGATGGACTCCGTCAACATGCCTGAGCGCCTGCTGTCGCACATTCGCAAGTTACCTGTGCTGAAGAACGACGTGACGGGCTTCGTTCCAGCACTGGTCGTCGCATTGTCACTGCGCTCAACATTGCTGGTAGTCGTCGTTCCTGTCGACTGGGTTGCTGGTCCTTTCCCTACCGCAGCGGCGTCCAGGTCTTTATGAGCAGAAATCAGGTGCTAGAACAAGTTGGTTGTGCCGCTTTGACGGACGAACTCGCGGCTGCACAAATTGCATCTCACTACGCTATCAGCTTCCTCGAAATATGCCCAAGCTGGCCATCTCTTGGTCCAACTAACTTTCGCTTTTACAGGCGGCAGCATTGTCACTGCTCTCCTCGCCAAAAAATCAAAAGTAACTAAGTTTTTGACAAGAACTGAACAAAATAGAAGGCCGGTAGCCACACTCACAGTTTCGCTACAACCTAAAATTATGAAGCTTTCCGGTTGTTATACTTTCCGGCTACTCTGACTAGTGCAGTGAATGCGCGGAGTGTACGACTACAAGTACAGTACCCAAAAGGATCAAGCGCTAGCGCGCAATGATTGTACGGACCTACAGCTTCATGCACGTGTACTTCGACGTTCATGCACTGGTGCGCATGACGCGCGTGCATGATGCCATGCATCGTCTGCTTGTACTGACGTCATGACCGCTCTCGCACTGTACAGTCATAATCGTTATCGATCATAACGATTATCGATTTCATCCATAACGAGTGATATACGAGTAATCGGTATAATCGTTTCGGCCCTAAATATTGTTACATGCTAAATCTACAAACTGCTAATTTCTCCTTTCTGATGTTTCTTGGATGACTGGAAGTTGTTCTCTAGTTGTGCTCTCTATGCATGCACATTAGCACAGCATGCCAGTTGCGTGGTCAGCTGACGCTTTGGATGTTCTAAACAGAACGGCTCGACTATTTCGCAACGCTGCCACTATGCTGTACTTCGGAAGTAGTATGTTGCAAGTGTAGGAATGTCACTGTGAGTCGATCAGTAAAAACTGCTTGTAACACCAACCCAGAAGTCACCCGCACATTCTATGCGTCACGTGCAGCCTAGCCCCGCCACCACTTCTCGTACCTATCCGGGAATATAGTGGACTTTCGTATAAAAAAAATAAAAAAATAAAAAAAACGTGTGCACACTCTCACCTTCTGCAGTTCCACACGTTTCTCATGGTCGTCGGGAAGCTGTGCCATCCACTCCATTTTCTCCTCTTCCACTTTGTCCATGTGTTCCCAGTCAGCACTAGCCTCTGCGCTGCTCATGTCAATACCTGGCCGCATTGCAGTAATAAGTAAATACAACATTTTTCAAGAACAAAGTAGATTATTTGTAAAAATGTGCCACTCTGAAATCATGTATGCAAACATACCCACAAAATCGGGTCTCAAATAGTCCATTACCCGGCTAGTGGCATGCATATACACGCACATACACACAAATATACATACACACACACACACACACACACACACACACACACACACACACACACACACACACACACACACACACACACACACACACACACTGTCCTGTCCTGTAGAGTCACTGCCGCAAAAGGGTCACGTGATCCCATCACTGGGAAACTTGAGAAGAGAGAGAGAGAGGCAACGACGCTCGATGACGCTCCAGGTGCACGGGCAGTCGCATCCGCTTGCCGCATATGCACACGTGCTGGAAGGCTGAGCGCTCCTCTGCTGTTGGTCTATGCGCCACCCTTGAACAGCGATGCCTTCCCCGTCCCCGGACACCGCGAAAGCAGCGACCACACCTGTCACAATGCGCGGCACAACATCCCTCCGCCGGTGCCGACGTACACACACACACACGCACATACACACATACAGAATGTGACAGAATAAACATTCTGGAACTTCGTATCTTCGATGTACCGTAAAGTCCGGAGGAAACGCCCACTTCGCAGCAAACGCCCACCCCAGCGGGTCCATACTATTTTCGTCTTTTTCAGGTCAATATAGTTGTAAACAACTGGCATGAAGGTCGAATGCGTACGAGAACGACTGTAATGCCTACAAACTGCCTATGTCCTACCAGGAGGCTGTGCAAACACGATTGTCATTATCTTCCTGCAAAGAAATAACTTCTGTCGAGATTTCCTTTCATTCGACAAATGTGTCGTCTTTGTGGTAGTTCGTTCTCCATGTGGTACGAGTAATGCCGTAGAAATGTGTGCAGTGCCACGATGTCGCACTGTCAGGAACAGAAATTGTTCTGATAAAGCGTCAGTCAACGACTTGACTGGTCCCGGTATTGCAGTTGCAAGTCGAACAGGGTATGTCACAGAAGCTACACCTACAAAGCCGCTGCTAACTTGTTGAAAACTCCGAAGTGCCCGAGAAAAACACTTGCCTTTGGGCGCTGTGTGATCTCGAAATGATGGCTTGAATCACCGTCAGAAGTGTATTTGGTTCCTTCAATACTCTGTTCTTCGCTACCTTGTTATTCGGAAGAAAACCCGGTTCGGATTTGCGAAATAAAACAACCATCATTATAAAATCACTACGAGCTAGCTCGTGGCTAGTGCCCAAAGAGATTTTGAAACCCGGAAAGTGGACATAGTTTACCGTAGCAAAGTGCTCTTCCCGCTATGGTGTGAGACGCACTTTCGTACAGTAGTGGTGACAGTGCATGGGGTCAGTGTGTACAGGCCAGCAGATCTTGCAAAAATGGGGTGGGAGTTTGCTCCGGACTTTACGGTATATACATGTACAAGGACACGCTACAAATTTGATCAAAAAAGAACAGAATAAATCGTAACTTTTGTTGTTATTCTGCGGTGGATGGGGCGAGATTAGCTTACCAGGGATTATCGACATGCCAGAAGACTTGTGATCATCATGGACTTCTACTTTATCAGTGAAGCGGACCTGCTTGCTCTGACCCAAGCCAGGCCCACTGTCACAAGGCACCGCACCTTCTGCTTGACTTTGATCCATCGTCTTGGATCCAGGTGACTTGGCACTGTCTTGATGGCGCTGCTTTCGAATGAACTCCACAATGTCAGGTCCTGGAAAATTGAGAAAAAAACAGATTTCAATTAGCAGTTCCGTTCACCAGGCAGTGTTGAAAACTCCTCTGCCTTTCTGCGGTGCAGATACATGTAGTCACAGCCAGTATACGGGTAGTTCAAGTGTCTGTAGACTACACATATCTCTCATAATTCACACCGACCACCATAATGATGACAGCACTCCACATTGCTAGAACAGAAAAGAATACACCAGCAAGGCAGCAACACACCACAAGCAACCAAGGGCTTGGACACTTAGATACTACATACACTCGCTTAGAAAGATCTGAATTTGCGTACCTAATGCTGCAGTCAATCTCCTCTGCTCCTCGAGTATCTCTTCTTGAGACATGGTGGTTAGCTTTGCTGCATTCTCCTCGTGGATACGCTGCGCTTCCTCTTCTCGAGAAGCGCTCGCAGCAACAGGCAAACCAGACCCTAAACACAAGACAGAGTTGAACAGGTGACAATGTCCAGACACCAAATAGGTTGCTTCACATAGCGCTGTCGCATGCCAGGGGACCCATAAAAGAATTGCATGGCACTGACATTGAGCAGTCTCTGCAGTTCGGGATCAACAGATTCGTAAATAATACAGGTATTGTAAGAGAGAAAACCTCCAGCACTCACCTGACACAAGCACACTGTGGCTTGGACTAGCCTGCGTTTGCACAGTGGCACTTGTCTCTGCCGGGCCGCCATTCTGACGATCATACTGCTGAGCAAACAAACTCTTCTTCTTCTTCCCAGTCTTGCCTGGAGCTACACCAGTCTGAAGCAGACAGAATGAACAAGCAGAAATAAACCCTCCGTATGATGCACCCTCAATAGAATCACCAATATATTGGGACTGAATATCATAGTGACAGGGTACATGTTGTGAACTGTATGAAGTCACACGCGCACAACTTCCGACGGCCTCACACTTACTGCACGCGATGAGTGATGAATGGAGAGAGCTTGAGGAAATCCAACACTGGAAGATGTGCTGGGCATTCTCGCCACGCAGTGGCTGGTGTCGCGCTCCTGAGGTGAGACGACAATAATACAACCACAAGTGTTACCTAGTGTGACTTTGTACACAGTGGCCACATCCATACCATCTTCACCGTAAGGGAATACGTGACATTGTACAAGTAGTACAACTCCCATGACACGCAACACATAGACTGCACTGATTGCACGGGTCTACTGACCTGACCAAACAGTCAATAGACGGCTAATTTCACAAACATTTTACTCTGATTATACGCCATTCAAAAATCAGGATGCCCTCCTAACGATACCCCAATGGAGGCTTGTGGAGTTCCATGTTCGGTATACTTGAAGTACATCATATAAATGGATACAAAAGATGCTATCAATATCTATCCAAGGAACCCAAAGCTATTGTCGCAACATGAAATGTCAAGAAGGCGAATGCTAGCACAGTACAATTGACTGTTCTCCTAGTAGAACTCTTGCCCCAATATGTTTAGAGCTTGCATTGTTCCCTTGCTAAATTTGATTAGGAAAAATGCACGCACTCGCACACACACACACACGCACACACACACACACACACACACACACACACACACACACACACACACACACACACACACCTCAGACCTCAGACCTGCCCATCGCGGAAGCGATGATAGCGAACAGCTATGTTAAACATAGCAACTTGTGCTGGGATTACACCATTCAACAGCTTGCAAGGCTGATGAATTGACCGCCACTGATTATAGCCTGGTCTACACCACACGGCAGGTTGAAGAAGCTTTTTCTGGCCAGTGAATCCCTATTTCTTCATTTTTTCATTTTTTTTACACACACACACACACACAAGCTGCAGAAACCAGCTTCACTTTGATTTCCATCACTTATTGATCAACCCAACGGACGACGGACAAAAAGACAGATTCAAACTTACCGTGATATTGGCCAGCACAGACCCGACATGATGCGTCCGCTCATAATCTATTGCATAATTACAGCACATGCAGTGTTACACATTTATACTAGTAACTACATGTATTCCGTTAGTGCAATGAAAATAGCTGCACATTCCCAGAAAGGGGGGGGGGGGGGGGGTAAGTGGTACATAAATACAGCATTGGCGGCAGTTACTGAATGCCCAGCTACACGAGTCAATTAACAAGTTACAACCCAGGCAATACTGTACCTACACCTCTGCTTCAACACATCGTAGTGTAAAAAGAGGCCTATTTTGCTTACCATCAAGCGCTGCATGTGGATCTTTCTCGACCTAGTGAGGCAACAGGTGTAAAATACAGAAACGCAGAAGGTCACGAAGAAGACGCGGGCGAGCTGCAATGATCACTGTCGCCGTGCATAACAGAATAGTGGAAATCAGCGTTGCAAACAGACAACACACAACACACCTTGGGCTTCTTTGGCTTCGGAGAAAGACCACTGGAGTCCACAGTGCCAAGTCCTATCCACCGAGAACACACACACACACACATCAAACATGCAAGGATATCAAGGAATGTACAAGGCACTAACAAAAAACACTGTCTGCGGCACCGCACAGACAAGACTGCTTATTGTAATGTATGGACTCTCGGGCACTCAAAGCACCTGCATGCCACAAACTGGGATGGCGTGAGTGCGTCCTTCCAAGGAAAAATAACTTGTGAAGTTGTGATGCATGTATGTGCTTAGTGTACAATGTCAGCTTTGCAGTCAATACAGGTACCATCACCATAACTACACTGCACTCTCCTGGCACCCGTAAAAGCAATGGATAGTGCACATTATCACAGCTAGAGAAAGAGAGAGAGAGCACTAATAACACTATCTTGTTCAGTAGACTTCATTGCGATCGGTTCGGCCAGTAACTAAGCTCCGCTAAGGAGACCTAATAAGGTCGAAACAGCATGCAAACCGGAGATGGATATTACGCTCCTTCCTCGCCTTCGTTGAGCACTCTTTTCTGGTTAGCGTTCAAGTTTTCTGCCCTGGTGCAAAGCTCGCTGTGTTTATCGCAGTTAGAGCACTCTGACTTGAGCGCTTTCAGCCGGTTATATAATAATGCTTTGTTGCTCAGTAGACTTCATTGTGATCGGTTCGGCCAATAACTCTTGAGCTCCGCCGAGGAGATCTGACAAAGTCAGAACAGCATGGTGACCGGAGATGATAGATCAAGTGGATAGTGTATGCATGTATTCAGCTACCGGCGGCTTTTATCACGATGGTCAAATGAAACAAGAAATACAGGGTACAGTCAACTTCACTAATAACGACTGCGGATACAACGACAATTCGCGAATAACAACAGAATTTCCCCGCCCAGAGCAAAGTCCCATCCAACTGTGATACATATAATGAGACTTCGGGTATAAGGACACTTCGCGAATAAGGACACTTTTCTGATGCCCCGCCGATTGTCGTTATACGCAAAGTTGACTGTAGATGTCCGTATTTCGTGACAACAAAATCTGGCTGTGGCTTACACTCCGGAAAACACGGTATTGTTCAGCTGTGGACAGGGAATAAAGTCCTCAACAAGTCTAGGTAGTAGGCAAGCCTGGCAACACTTTCTACAGCTGGATTTCTAGCTTGAGTTTGTACCTTCTGCAGGGTACAACTCATGAAGGCTGCATTTTTCGTGGGCATACATTAGTATTTATTGCCTACTTTTAATTCATAACACACTAGCACTTGCTGACTGACTACAGTGTACATGTAATTACTTGTTGATGAAATGACACTGGTAGTAGTAGTAGTAGTAGTAGTAGTAGCAGTACAAATCATGTACGTGTACAGGTATGTGCATTAGGATTTATAGAAATAGCTTCAACGTCCGGACGGACACAAAGGAACTGGAGAGAACCTAGGCAACTTCTCGTGAGAGGATCAGGTGACTAGTCTACTGTGCCTCACCAGCATTCCCAGCATCTGGCAGACGAATTACATCGCGAGGCGGTACCCTTCGGTTCACGACCGTCGCAGACGTGTCCAATCCAGAAGCCAGGAAATCTTTCTGGAAACGTAGGAGATCATCCTCAGTGTCTTGAGCTTTGGGCCGACGATTCTTATCCATAATTCCTCTTGTGTGGCCCACTGCCTATTTCTTTGACACTAATAACAACCGACAACAAAGCTGAGACAGTATATTTGTGCGTTGTTGCTACATACATTCAGCTGCACAAGTTGAGGTATACTGTATACATCATGTAGCAGCAAGAAACTAACTTTGTTGAACCAAAATCTGAAAAAGTAAAAGAACATTCAACTTTATTCAAAAAAACAACCACACGTTTTTGTCGCATTTTCGACGCCATGTACGTTTCCACAGCGACAAGCTCACATGCACAGTCGAGTCGTGTCACGTGCATGCCAGCATGCATGTGCGATGCACTGCCATCTAGATATCTGATATCACCATGACCTTGTGAACCAAAGATCAAAGGTCAAGAGAGGGGTTGAAAAGAGCAAGAAGATCTGCGTGTTTGTAGCGATTCTTGCATACTCCACTACTCCTCGATCCTCCCTGATTCTTGCAATGAGACGGATCCATGGTACTACAGGCTGTAGCACCCGACTCCGGCCTCTTGTGGTTCCTTGAACAAAAATTATGATGACAGATGTGAATAAGTAACGGTGCTAAAGCCAGTTAGTAAAGGCTGGTAGATCTAGAAGAAGCACTTACAATTATTTGTAGAGACACCTGCTTTCCAAGTTTGCTTGGAGCAACTCCGGTGCATAGTCCATGGCTTCACCGTCCAACTAGACCGTAATCTGGAATGAAGCTGCCGTAGTTATGCCGGATGTAGCCCGTCTCCTGTCATCTTTAGCTTTGGACATCGCCAGCATTTTGACTCGCTCGTCGAATGAGGATGCAAAGAAATTGAGCAATGATCTAGTTGAAAGGACTGTAAGTATGGAGGTCTTGCAAACGCGATATAAAAATAAGCATTTGAATTCCCCTGTGAACTGCTTAGCCACAGACACTGCAGTGTCACAGTAACACCACAAGGAGAGTGGCATGCTCAATAGGGCTTGGCGGATAATGCCGGCAGAAAAATTGGCAGAATTCGGTACTTTTTCTGGTAAGTTTCATGCATGTTTGGTATGTGGATAAAGAAATGGAGCAGAATTCGAGGAATTGCCCGCCATAAGGTTTGTATGGTTCTGCCAATTTCGGTGCAAAAAAAGCAGAATCTGCCACCTTTTCGAGCATTATCCGCCAAGGCCTAATGCTCAAGGGCAAGAGTCTGAGTGCGTGGGACTGCACCACTGTGAATGTTCCCGTCGATCTGATATTATTAGTGCTGAGTCGGGTAGCATTTTCTTCAGGTATCGGGTTCGGGTAGTTTTCCACGGGTAGCACAGGTACCCGATCGGGTAATGTCTCCACGGTAACATCACAATGCACCCCTTCCCTTACACACTGGATAGAATTTGTACATGTGCACTGTACATGTACATGATGTCAACTGCGACTTCGGGTTTTCGGGTACTATTCTGTACCCGTCTACCCGAAGTCCTCACGGGCAGCACGGGTACCCGACTACCCGTGCACACCCCTAATTATTATAATGCCATCCGCGACGGTGTTGATCACCGATCGAGTCACCAGGCGTTGGGTTCAGTCAGCATGATGAGGCAGAGCTGCTACTAGTATGTTCAAGCCCCTCATGGAAAGGTGGTGGAATGAACAACACTAGTGGCTCTGTTCTTGCCGTGTTCAGTGCTGTTAGTGTTGGGACTCGGCTGCACTGTTGACGTATAGCCCGAGTCCCAGCACCATGTCATCCCAACTAACATAAGGGTAACTATCTCTGCAACAGCTTTGCCTTTCACAACTGTAACTTGAAGTGAGAAACTTTCGCTAGAGATTAAATTTCTCTATTTCCGTGATGTTCACACGTTCACGCATATTAATTGCCGTAAAGTGCTCTTTGCATTATTCTGCACAATAAAAGACCCAAATGGAGAGATAAGTTTCTCATCGCGAACCAGTGCATAGAAGAAGAAGCACAAAATTTGCATGCAACCGGAACATTTCTCGCTTTACAGAATAACATTGCGCTCATCATTCCGATGATGCACCACTTTCCCACCAAGGTGCTAAGGGTATTACCTTCTTTGCAGGGTATAGTCCACTGTTTACTCTATTGGGCTTTAGTCACCTGATGATTCTGTAAGAAGCAAGAACCTCTGGGAAGAGGAAGAAATTTCTGCCGAACCTTGTGTGTAATAGTAGCAATACATACAGTAGCAGGCATGCTACTGAGAATTTCTGGATACCGGCATGCAACGTATTTTTTTATCTCTTCTTAATGTTGAGGCGGTTGGTCGACTCACTGGGGGTTAGTGCGGCCAGAGTCCGACAAGCTCAGTGCACAGGCTGCCAAGTTCTTGCACTATTCCTGTGTAGAAAAGTCACAGTCTGCAGTTGCCTGTCCTCCACATTGGCTGTGTCCAGTGCACAGATGGCAGCTCCTCCGAACTACGGGCTGGTTTGGTAGCCGTGATAGAAGATCACCTCCGGACGACATGCATGTCAGCACTGCCGAAAACGCGGATACAGCTACAGAAGGAAGAGGTGGGTGCTCTTGTACCGACAGTTACCGGTGGCCAGTAACGCAAATGCATGTACTGGGCAATTCCTCTGCCAATAGTAATCGGAAATGCACCACTGTGCATGCAAGCGTATGACCAGATCAAAAATAGTGACAAGCTTGCCCTGTGCCGTCTACTCTATCTAAGTGCTGTCGCATGTGTTGCGGATACCTGTAGTCTACATGTACATGTCTATCTCTCCTCACCATAATCTGTATCTGAACAGCTTAGTAGCCCTGAGACATTCATCCAGTTGTGTTGTGTTAGGCTAGCGTGTGTCACTTGTACAGGTCACGTACGGATAATGTTTGCTACTGTGTACATGACTAGGGTTTACCGGGTGTTAGTGGCCGTCGTGAGTTCCCTTCGGGAACAGACACGTTAATTTGCTTTTTCTACTGTGTACAGTCATGTATGTCAGGGCTGGAAATGCGTCACTCTTTCTTTCTGATTTGAAGAGTACCAACCACCGCACCAAAACCGTATTGATTGGCACGAAAAAAGTGGTTACTTTTATCCAGTCTGTACTGTATGCGGGTTCTGAGTAGCGGGCAATTCCTATCCACAGTCAGTGCATGGTGCCAATGTGCCCGGACAAGGGGAGTTACTCGTATACTGTGTGTACCCATTGTGCCAGACAATGATGGGCTCCGAAATCAGAATCGTCCGGGTTCTGCTTGTTGCCTACTTCACGTCAAACCAGCTAGCTTATGGTGTGCTGTGTTTGTGCATTCATAGGTTCACCAAACGGTGCGCCAGCAATCTTCTCAGGACAGTGAAGCAGCCAATTCCACAGCGGTAATGTGCCTTAGCTTGATGTGTTAGTATGGGAGGGTGCGGCAATTTTCAAAGAGCAGGCCCGCCGGAACCAGTCCGGTTGGTCAGGTGATCACCGGACCAAAACACGAGTCCGCAGTTCACACGACCCCGGGTGATGGCCAGAGCTCCACAGAGTATACATATGGCCAGAGCTCTACAGAGTATACGGCGGTTTAACATGGTGATATGGAATGAGTAGCTTTCTTATCAAACCCATTCAACTATCTGGCTCATAACTGTGAAAGTGCCTCCAGATGAGTGCACCCGCTCCTGGACACTTTTGATCCCACGGACGAATTTTGGTAGCATGCAGGAAATCTCCATGGTGATTTCCCTGTAAACGTGGATTTGCCCGGCATGTGAATTGCCTATAAACATGCTTTGTCCTGCAAGTAAGCTGACAGCCATGCAGTTGATCAAGAGTGTGCCTTTCCTGTTTCCTCACGTCGTACAAAAGAGCCCACAATGGATCGCTCTGGACTCCTGTACCCCAGTGTTGGGAAAGCGGCTCTGTGTTCTGTATTGGGAGAAGCTAGCCATACCAAAAGAGCGAAGCCTGTACAGTACAACCTTTCCACCGAAGGCAATGTCTACTGAAGTATCATTTGTAGCTGCACCCTACTACAGCGGAATGTTCATTTGGGTGGGTGATTTCCCACTCCAATCTCATACTATGTATTTGTACGATTCTCCAATTTGCCTGACTGCACCACCGCATGCTCATACGCAGGAGTACATAACCAAGATTGTGCAACTCGACACGCCCCAGCCCATGACGGAATTTTTATGGCATCAGTTGTTCGCGGCCATTTTACTCACTGGTACCATCATGCGTAGCCAGCAGGCAGTCGACTCCGTGGTAGCCAGAGAGCAAAGTAGAGAGAAAAATGTGTACTTCACAGCTACGGCAGACGAAGCAGAACGATGGATGTGTCCTATCACTGTATCTACAAGGCAAGAGCGGGAAAGCATACACACTAATCTTGATCATACTTCTGCCACAAAAGGACGCAATGAAAAATCCGCCGTAGGTGAACCCATCCAAGCTCGAGATAGGAGTTGCACACTCTTGGTTACCGGTATGTACTCTTGTTACAGGTATAAGCAATATTACCAGCTCTAATTCATACGCATTTTTGCCCGTTGTTTGCCTACTGCTTTGATCACAATTTAGCGCATATAAAGAGCTTTTCTGCTGGCATTCATCCTCGAACCATGTGGTCTCTCGGTACTCGAAGTGTCTTGACTTCTCTTGACTGCTCTCTTTTCTTCTCTTCCACCCACTTCTCTAATAATAAAAAATCTTGAAGTGGAAGAGGATACCTATTGTTCTGTGTGAACCAGCGAATTTGGAATGGTGACTGTTAGTATTAGTTGTCTACCTGGTAAGCCCCTTGACTGATCTTAGTGATCCGGCCATGACACCACCGCAAAGTCTGTAAATAAGTATGTACCCGAAATACATAGAAGTACTTGTACCCCACCTCATTTTTTCACCGTCTCTTGCAGTCAAATTTAGTCTAAAACATATTGCCCAAAATATGGACCAGTACAATTCGAGCAAGCACAGGTGCTACGCTCTGCAAGTGCATGCGCATGGTACGAAAGACCAGAGTAAAGAGCAACAACCTCTCACTACGTGCAAGTTAGTAAAGTTCAAAATTCAGTTTGTACGCCAAGGTTAGTACGGGTGCGGCCACAAAATAACCGAAAATCTGTACATACCGTAAAATCCCGCCAGAGCGCCCCGTCTCTCCCATCCGCCCCTCCCTGACTTCTTGTCAGGGACGTGATTGGTTGTATCCTCGTATGACTCTGTCGCAGTCTGTGATGCCGTACTGCACTGCAGACGCGTGCTCGACCCCGTTGGAAATGTACGCAACAGTGCCCACCCTCCTGACCAGGGATCGCACAAACCCTGCGTTTTGTCGGGTCTGCACGACTCCTGGCTCTTGACTTTTGGTCGGTGTACGAGATGCACGAACAGTTTTCGTAGTGTGAGTACTTTTTCATGTAGCACTGAATGCGGCAAGTAGGACTCGCCCATCCGCCCCTCCCCACCTGAAGCGTCGAGGAGGTAGGGGCGCTCTGGCGGGATTTTACGGTATTTACGGACTTTTTCAATAATACTCAATTCTGTACATGTTTCAAAGAATGTACATGTATGTCGTTCTGATATGCGAATGTGGCGCCGGATGGCCATAGTGTGTTGTCTGGGAAACTGAAGTTGGCAAGGTGGAAGCTCAAGTGTCATGAAGCAACCTGCCGATAGCTATCTAAAGCCATTCTAGTCACGGGTTTTGCTGAGGAGAGTAGGCAACAACTGCTTGAACAGTGCTTAAAATAAAATTACAATGTGCTGGGTGCAGCGTTTCACACACACGTGGAAGACAAAAAACCACTCAGGATCAGGTTGCCACTCTGAGTTCCATGCCATTATGACAACCTTCCATTGGTTGCATCAAAAGCATTTGAAGGCATGCATCGAAGTCGGAGCAGCAACCCAATACTTTTAGTGTTTTGTCTTCCACATGCATAGTTCTTGTTATTGAAGTTTTCTTTTTCAATCCTCCAGACACAAGATGACTATGAATGAGCTCGTGGAAGGAAGCATGGACATGTCTATAAACAAGACTGAGGTATATGTGTGCCATTTTTCTTCTTGCTTTTCTTTTCTACAGGACCAACCAGTCACAGATGCATTTGATGAGCTGGCCAATGTAGACTTTTAGCCGGTGACATGGGTACTGGAAGATGTGTGTACACTCCTGAAAATGCTATTGCTGATGACATCCTTGTCACGCAGTGTTGACCGTAAGAACTGGAGTGAATATGACGCCCATCAGTGTTGGTAGAAACGTGAAATTAATATTTTGCTGTAGATTTTACCTTCTTTCGTTGCTTATAGGTTAGTACATGGCAGGGCGGGCCTTAATAGGGCTTGTTAGTGCCCAACAGGTTAGCCCGAGGGCCGTAGGCACGAGGGCTAACATGAAGGGCGCTAACAAGCCAATAGACCTGAATTGAAATGCACTAGTTTATAACGAGGTTATTTTTTTCAAACAGAGTTATGATAATCTTTACCAATCATGAATTTGAGTTGCACTGTAACAAATAAAATGCATCATATGCGTACATTGCATACCCATATTTTGGTAGCTTGGTGGATTGTCCAGAGAAATGAAGCAAATGAAATGCTGGAGTTTTGGTGTGAATTTCATACAATCGAGAACTTATGGAGCTATTTAGTTAGGGGCTTCAAGAGCCCCCTTTTGGTGCACGAGGACAGTGGAACCGACATGGCCGACATCATGTGATGCAGTGGTCAACCTGAGTGGTCCGGGGAACCAGCATGGCTATCCGTACGGTTATGTGATAGGTGTAATACCACTCTATTATCGTACACATTTCTAAAATGTGCACCTAGTGGTAGTACACTGTTCATTTTCTGCAGAGTTCATGATAATGTGAACAACTACGTGTACACTGGTTTATTGCATGTCACGTGAGGGTTATCTGTACTACAGCCAATCAGCGTTCTCCATGAGCTTGCAGGTATGTTCGTATATTGCCTGCTTAGGCGGGCAATAACCCGGGCAATAACTTTCAGCGTATTGCCCGCTGAATCCGATCACTCTGCGCATGCCCATTCGTCTCTGCACGTGCCCATTCGTCAGCTGAGTCCTTCACTTCTCCCGAGCAGGTTGACTTTTGGTGTGATCGATGGTAGATGGACAAAAACGCCATCGGACACACCGATCACCAAAAGAAGCAACAGGCTCGAAAAAAATGGAGGACTCTACTGGCGACGAGCATGTACAGATTAATCGGATCCAACGGCCAATACACCAACACGTTACTGCCTACTTGCACGGACTTGTCTGTTCTCTTCGAAGTTCGGACCGGTATTGATGATGTGAGTCGGCCTTCGTCGACCAACTGTTAGAAGAACTGAGCATCGCACGCACAGGCACCTTGAAAACAAACGGAAGGTAAAATGAAACCTATGTTGTAGATTAGTCTTGCACATATAATATTATGGCATCGCATCACAAGAATCCAGGTCGAAGAGGTGCAAGAAAAGGACTTTCAATGCTGATCTGTGCTCTATATAGAACGTGAGTGTCAAGCACGCAATACATGGTTTATTGCACCTCATATTCACTCGTATACGGGCAATACCGGCTTGACCTTTGGTCGGTGTACGAGATGCACGAACAGTTTTCGTAGGGTGAGTACTTTTTCATGTAGTACTGAAATGCAGCAAGTAGGACTCGCCCATCCGCCCCTCCCCACCTGAAGCATCGAGGAGGTAGGGGCGCTCTGGCGGGATTTTACGGTAATAGCAGTAAACACAATAGACTACCTAAACCTCACCACCACTGCCACGATTCAGGTTGTGCGTGCTTCCCCTAGCTGCATCTCATGTTTGGCATTAAGTGGTCTTTGTAAAAAATAAAAAAATAAAAAAAATAAAGAGTCCTGCACGTTCAACACCCAACCGGGTCTACGGGACTTCGTGCATCTGTACAACGTGCATAAGGCTTATTGTTTGCCTTTAAGGCCCCCCTACAGACCACGTACATAGAACATCCAGTGCAAAATCACATAAAACCTAAAAGTAGTGGTGAAACGAATGTCAAAACCTACTGGTCGAATATTCTTCAGCTTTTAACGAACGAATGAACGAATATTCTTTTGGTAACACAGATTACATCACATGCCCTCCTCTCAGTCATTTGATGGATATTGTCAATACTAATATATTATTAGGTATGACAAACGGTAGTGCCACGTAAAATATACTGCCACATAAGGCTACTTCGAAGTTCATAAATGTTATGTGCAACATTGGCAGTTCAGTATGGACATACATGTGCATGCATGCAGTACAACGTCACAGGCAGGCTGTACGCACTGCACTGTACCGTGTTCGGCGTCCATGTATGTACATGCACTGCATTCGAAGTGACGCAACGAATACTCGAATGTGACTTAACGAATATTCGAATGTGACAAACCGAACGAATGTTCGAATATTCGAATATTCGTTTCACCACTACCTAAAAGGCCACATTTTTCCACGCCTGCATTCAGACTACACTTTTTACATGCAACATGGGCTGTGTTTACATAAGGCGTTTCGCCCCGGGTTGAGTTCGACCCGCCATGTACACAAAATGAATGGCGCGTTTACATGACGCATTGCGCTTGACCCGGGTTGAAATTTCGCCCCGGGTTGATTTCAACCCTCCCCTGAAGGGGGGTGGGGGTGGTGAAATCAACCCGGGGCGAGAAATCATCCTAACGTACTTCTGTGCGTATCTCGCGCCAGGTTTGAACAGCACTGCATATGCAAATTTCGCGCGAAAGTATTCACATGACCATACAGGACTCTAGAAGTGGACTTTTGGCGGCATATCAGTATTTAACCCGGGTCAGCTGTCTTCATGTAAACGCTCACCAATTTTGTCTATCGTACAGTCAACCCGGGCTGAACTCGACCCGGGTTGAAATTTCTCATGTAAAAAAAAAAACACAGCCATCGAGGTAACCTCTGACCCTGCGCAAGGGGCTGGGATGTGTGAATTGAAGCAGCCAGCAGTCATACAAAGTTTGTACGCTTGTAGGACAGCCTGGTACATGGTGAAAGTAAAGTTGCCTTGTAAGTTGTACGAGTACAAGGGTTCGCACCCTGGCCTGCCTGAAAGAATTGGGCAGCTTTTTAGGCTTCCCGCCAAACTATTGTACCGTAAAGTACCGTTGATCCGCCGCCCCCCCCCCCCCCCCCCACGCCATGTCGCTTCCCACCTGGGTTTTCGGCAGGGGGCGGGAATTAGATCAAGGCTGTCAAGTGCAGTACGATGTACAACAACGTAGAGGATTAGACTCAATGTGCTGGATTGTGCACATTTTGATCCTGGATTGGCAAGTATTGTGTACAGCAGTGCATGCGTCGGTTCAACATCGTATTTCGTTGTATACGCCGAAGTCGCTTCACAAGGAGAAAATCGACAGGGGGCAGAGCAACGGTACTTTACGGTATTTGTCTTGGAAACTTCTATGTAAATGTGACTTATAGGCTGTGTTGTACCTAGCTAGTCGGAAGAGAGCCAATTAATTTAATCAGGGGTCGTCCACAAAATTTAATATCGATATTTAGAGAAGATACTCGTTGGGGGGGGGGGTTGGGCCCTGTTCGTCTCGTCTTTGTGAAAAAATATCGAACTCCAACTATGGACGGGCACTGTGCAAACATGTAGTTTATGACCTACACAAAGTGAAAGTCAACCTCGTAAACACACGAACATAGCCATGGCAAGGTTGTGCCGGACCATGGCAACGTAAACCTAGGTGTATGGTGAATTTAGAGTTGCAGCTGGTCACATTTCATGAGGAGATTGCCTGATTGCACTTCATTAAAAAATATCGATCCTCTGCATAAACATGTGTATGTTCGTTTTGAGGGGGGGGGGGGGGGGGCTAGGGAGGAGGTCTGGGGAGAAATGAACAAATATTGAACACCCCCGAGTCCGTACACACCTACGGTCCTAGTACAGACCTTCATACATCACGCTGTACAACGTGTATAAGGTCTCCTTTAGTTGTACGAGTAAATTGCAGGTCGCATTGCCGAAGATGCGCTCAAGTACGCAGTTGTACATGACGAACATGAAATATAGTACAAACTGTACTACAATGTGCAGTAAAATTCAGTACAGAATAGATTTTTTGAGTTTCCCGCCACAAATGGCATGGCAACACATGTGGCTTAGGGAAGACTGAGTACACATCCAATTATTTTCCCGCCAAAGTAGTCACGTCACCATACAGGTATACAAAATAGATGATATGCCAAATAACGTGCAACTAGACTTGAGAGGGCATTTAATTGCAGAGTAGTTGCATACAAAGTTCAAAGTTGTACGGTTACCTGTGACTTGCATTCCTGCAGAGCTCAGGGCCTGCCATGTACACATTGTAGTATAAGTAATTAGTTGTATGCAACTTGTGTGCGATGCCCTCTCAAGTCTACAATTATAGTTGCACGTTATTTGGCATATCATCTATTAATAGAGAGGTTCCGCACTACGTAAAGTTGAGCAACTTTACGTTAGTGGGCGGGAAAAACCCGTGAATTCGCGAGTTTGCACTCCACTTACGGAAAGTTGTCTACGGAGAGTACATAGATAGGGCTCTGATAACGTAGCCGGTCCGTAAGTGGATTGGGGTACAAATTTATGACTCTCTCCCCAGGTCGATCTGGTCGTACACTGCTGCGTTCGGAGTTGCCAAGGGCAGCTACGTGATTTGAAAACTCCGTATGGCGGAACCCAGATGCGCATGCAGTTTACGTAAGACTTTCCTTAGATCGACTACTTTTTTTACTAACGTAATTACGTTATGCGGAACCTCTCTAATATGGACTTTTGTCGGCAATTCAGACAAAGCCCGATTTTGCCAGTGCACTAGTGAAGCTTCGATATTTTGCAAATTTTTACTACCTCATCGTCGATATTTTGCAAAATTTTCGTTATTTCACTCCACCAGCGCTGAAATTATTACTGTACTTTAAAAGGTACTCATCCAGTCCACCCGACTAAGATGAGAAAGTTGAGCCCAAGAACGTCCAGCCAGCCAGACGAAAATAAGAACGACCCAGGCTCTTTGGAAACAGCGTTCTTGGACGCACGACTCTACTGTATCCTTCTTCTACGCGCAACTCAATCGCAACCGTTAGTACGCACGCCGGGGAGGATACCGATTTCACTACCCAGGCTGCTGCCAGGCTCATTACAGTGCCCGTGCCGGGTGCTGCCGGTCGAAGAGAGGTTTTCAACTTCACAGCTGTGCAAAGTATATCAAAACCTGCGCAGCGTGCAGACTCAATGCTCGACCAACCTGCCTATTGTCTGTCCGCCCTACTAGTGTGTGTGTGTGTATGTGTGTGCGTGTGTGCACGCGCGCATGGATCTAGGGAAGCCTGGACCAGCCTGGACATGCACTCTGCGGGGAGGGGAGGGAGGGGGATACCGGGGTTCGCCACGACATCCAGAATAAAACAAGTAGCGTATTTTCTCTAATAAGAGGCCAGGGTTCTTATTAAAATTATTTCAGTGACAGCTCTACCCGCGCTACTATTAGAGACTGTGCTTTTATTTTTGTCAATGCTCCACTATCAAGCCAGCTCCAGTTTATAATTGTAGGCAAAACCATATCCATACCGTAAAATCCCGCCAGAGCGCCCCGTCTCTCCTATCCGCCCCTCCCTGACTTCTTGTCCGAGACGTGATTGATTGTATCCTCGTATGGCTCTGTCACAGTCTGTGATGCCGTACTGTACTGCAGACGCGTGCTCGACCCCATTGGAAATGTACGCAACAGTGCCCACCCTCGGCCTCTTCGCCAGGGATCGCACAAACCCTGTTTTGACGGGTCTGTACGACTCCTAGCTCTTGATCTTTGGTCGGTGTACGAGATGCACAAACAGTTTTCGTAGGGTGAGTACTTTTTCATGTAGCACTGAATGCGGCAAGTAGGACTCGCCCATCCGCCCCTCCCCACCTGAAGTGTCGAGGAGGTAGGGGCGCTCTGGCGGGATTTTACGGTACTGATTTTCTGAACCCTAAACTCAGGAATATTGTCATAACCGATGTTTCACAATAACATGGGTACATGTACCAGGAAGGAAGCAGTACGAGTCCGAAAACCTCCTTACAAATAATAATGTGCTTGGCATGCTGCACTCCTGTTTATTATGCAGTGAATATACTTGTTGCATACTCCAACTGTGGCCCGCGCTACTATTAGAGACTGTGCTCTTATTATTTCAAACAACCCTCACCCCGCGGCCCGGGTCATTATTGGAGACTGGGCTATTATTGGAGACCTGGGCTTTTATTAGAGAAAATACGGTATCTGAGTAGAGGCAATGGTCTTCACACTCGTACCTTTTTTGCTTGTATTGATGATGTGAATGGGCGCCAGCTTGTTTCCCGCCTCATCTCCGCGAGGATCGAGAGTACTCTTCCTGCATGTTGACCTCCCTACAAGTACAAGGGCTTGGGCAAGCTGGGCCCGGAGAAAGCCTACCTTCTTCAGCCGTCATCATTCGCGCCTGTTCGAAATTTGTGCGCCAAATTGCCAGGGAGCTATCAAGGAGTGGGAAGTACGCACCGTAAACTGACGGCCCAATGGGGGCCAATGCGGCCCAATACGGGGGCACGTCGATGGCATTTGTCTGCATGAAGTGCATGTTTGCAGCAGCAGGAGACGTGTATTCAACCCCAAAGCTACAGCTAAATACTTTCGGTTGTAAAGTTGTGTGGGTTGAGGTCAGGAGGTTGTCTGAGAAATCCCGTAGGCCGTAGATCTACCTCTAGACTAGAGCTCTCGTCATGTACTTTTTGTTGCTGCCGCAGCTAGCTACAGTCCATTCAGAAAAAAATGAACTTCTAGCTTTTGGCCATAAATGGGTCAAACGTTGAGTTTTTTTAGAATTTTTTTCTGCAATCCCATATGGAATCCTCTTCCAATTATGTTTCTGAAGTTTTTTTGTCCAAAAAGCAAGCCATAGCAAGAATAGGATTTCGGCCAGGTTTTGCCCCAAAAGCACTGAATTGGGAAAAACCATCAAAATCCAGGCCGTTTGACCCCGCCTGCAACAGTGCATTCTGCGGTTCGAACCCCAGTTCAGGCACCCTTTTTGGACCCTTTTTCAAATTTCAAAGTTCGCAGCACTGCACTGTGTACGATGAAATCACGAAAAATCGCCAAATACGGGAGCTCGCCAGAGCCAGGACCCATTTTTTTATGAATGGACTGTAGCTGTGCGTCAACTGCGTGAACTGCTGTCTGTGCTGAAGCTGAAGTCCACTGTCGACATGACATGTCACAGACCTTGTGTGTACAGTTCACCGACGTAGATCTACAACCTGTACGAATACGGGTACTAACATGCTACCCATGGTCCAAACATAACCTATCAACAGCTCTCCTAAACTACCCAACCTTTTCTACTGTACTGAGAGGTTGACTTGCTAGCTTGACGATGTGGTGTGAAACATAACGTCAAGAGCATGAAAATAATTTAATGACAGGGCGCAGCTTGCCTTCTTGGTACCATGGTGTTCGGAATGCTTTCATTTCGACTTCTGTCCTGCTGCTCCAGCTTACTTTTAGGTTTACCAGCTTGGACAGGAGCTCATGAGACGTCATAAGTTTTCAGTAGTGCTTTACTACATGTAGTATCTTCACTTCTTCAGGTTCGAAAAGAGAGTAAATAATTGAGAGCGGTTCCAGATAATTGTTTTGTCACATTCGCTGCATTCATACCTACCAATACAAGACCGAATTTTTCAACTCCTAACACTATGAATGCCGAAATGAGTGTGTGTGTTTACGCCAGAAACGCTAATGGAGGTAACGATGAGAAAGGCAGATTGGAATTGGTGAATGACTTTCCCACTTGTATGGATCGGTGGAACACCAACGAGGTGCGTGCGATCAAATACTTTTCACAGCTGACAGCATCTATTTGAGTGGAATGACTCGACGTTGGGTTTGCATTACCATTTTTCTGTTACTTTTGTCAATTTCATCCAGGAGGCAGCCAGATATTTGGTATCAGTTGACTATCATCGCGAGTGGATGTCAAGGGAACCTCCACATAGGTAATGAGAAATTTTAACAGAATTGCCAATTATATCCTCAATTTGCTATAACAGCACCTATTCATGGGCTTCTACGAGAATTGTACTTTCTGTTTATATTCTTGTTTCATTGCTGTGCAGGCCTGCCAGCGGACAGATGTTCATTTTCGATAAGAGAGAGGTGAGGGGAAGCACTTCCCTAGAATACTGAAGTTTCTCTTGACATTAAACAAATATATCCCTATCGTACTTCCTAGAAATGCGTGTCCATGCACCTGCCAGGGAGGACCCATGACTCAGGGGCGTCGGAAGGTATTTTAGGGCGGTACGATCAACCACCGGAAGTATTTACCGTAAAGTCTTGTATAAAAGCCGCGGCTTCTATGACTTTCTTGGTGAAATTTTGCAGGCTTCTATATGAGCAGGCGCGTAGCACTGCCGTTGGAGGGGGTCTGGGGTATCCCCCCGGGTAATTTTTGAAATTAGGGTTCAAAATCCTGCATTCTGGGCGAAAAAGTGGTCCGGCCCAAGCCGGACCGGCCGGATCGGCTGCTACGCCCCTGATGAGACAGGCTTCTATACAAGACAGGTATTTCTATGTATGTCAACACTAAAACCAGGCTTATGTGTGATTTGATGGGCCCAAAATTGCGGCTTCTATTCGAGGGCGGCTTCTATGCAAGTGCGGCTTTATGCAAGACTTTACGATACTCGTGGAGTTGGGCGGCTCCTCTGAGAATGTTCGAAATTTAGAGCCCAAAACAGTGCCTTTTATTGATTCACTGGGTAGATCTATCGTGCCTGGGACAAATAGTGGTGCGGTCAATACCGTAGTGGTCGTAGCGTGTCCGACGCCCCTTCATGTGAATGCGTAGACTATACTTGTTGATGGACGGTCGTGGTGTTTGTATAGTGCATGCATAACGTTCTAGCACGCAGTCTCCAGGGAATTAACCAATCTGTCAGTGTACATGTAATGTGTACTCGTATCATTGTGTTCTCTCACAAGGAGCCTTTTCGTTAATTGCACCTGGTTATTGCGGATGTCCTTCGACGTAGAAGTTCCACCAACACTGCTGCTCGTTTGCCCTGTTGCATTAGGTTAAAGCATGACTTACACACAATTTGTTACCCAAATGCGGTCACCACTGTTTAGGTAGGACGGGTATCAGGTTCTCATGGTGCTGTAAAGTATACTTGGAGGGGGTCCAAACATGAGCTTAGGGGAGGTTTTCAAGCATTTTGTACTGGATTTATACCAGGTTGGTATGTGCCATGTGCCATGACCTGAGCATTTCAAAGCCAAAATTAATGTCTTCCCTTATGCCAGTGGGAGTCAAGAGTACATGAAAACCAGAGTGTGCAGCTTGGGGCTTTTTCTACTATGGGTGTTTGTCACGGCGGAATTCCGTGATTACAATCATATTTGGCGCAGATCTGAGGCGGGAAATGGCGTAGTGCGTACAACTGAGCTGCAGTTGTGCAGAAAGAGACCTGCTTGTACGCACTACATCACTAAAATGATGTAATCATGGAATTCCGCCGTGACAGCAACCCATCCGAGCTGCACACCCTGGTTTTCATGTACTCTTGGTGTCATGTAAGCTCCTGAGTCCGGAAAGCTGAACGGCTAGTACTGCATGCATGTACATACTAATGTTGTGGCCAGAGCACTTAAGTCTTTGACCATGACAATGAGCTGACTGGAGCTGCCACCTGTTGATGGACTGCACTTAAATTAACATGTCCCCAAGTGTTACTGTAAAGGCACGTACACACACACACACACACACACACACACACACACACACACACGGTGAAATTTATTTCTATCTCTGTCTGGGTTTTTTTACACTGATGAAGAGTACTAGGCTGTCCCCACAGAATTACGTGGACAAAATCTTAAAATTATGCGCATAATAATGCTGGCGAAAACAGCCCATTATGCGGTAAATATGCAGGATTAGGCCAAGTAAAAAAAAAAGCTAGATGATCGTCCCCGTCCGCCCCAGTTTTTGTCAGCGCCCCAAGAAATATTTTATTTTTTAAATCGTGAGTTTTACTATATGGACCACATACTACTAGTATATCACAACGTCAGTATCGATCTGCTGAAGAAAGAAAAAGAAAAAAAGAAAAAAAAAGAAAAAAAGAGAAAAAAAACCTTGATGTTGTTGTGTACACTGTGTGCATGAGAGGGTAAAAAGTAAAAAAATAAAAATAAAATCCTCCCGCCCTCCCCGATTTTTCCAAAAAAAAGGACGATCATCTAGTAATTTTTTTTACTCGGCCTTATGCGGCAAATATGCGGTGTAATGCGGTCATTATGCACGAGTTATCTGTCATTTGTACAACTTTAGCGTGCAGTTCCATGCAAGTATAGGGTTGGTTCACATATCGCCGGGAGTCACCGGGAGTGGGCATGTTGCAGCCTCTCCCGGCGCAGCCGTAACAAAATCATACGGTAAAATGTCGCAAGGGACCGCCGGCAAAGTTGGACAGTGCCCAACTCTTGCGATCTGCCCCGGCGCCGATCCCGTAGAGTTTTGACCAAAAGTGGTTTGTGAAGCGTTCGCGCCGGTGCCGGGAGCCAGACTTTGTCAAAATTTCAAACCAAGACTCATCCTAAGTTTTCCTAAATTGAAGCTAAAGATGAGGTCCGTTCGCCATTCTTGTACTGTAAAACGACAAACTTTCGCGGCGGCTAAATTTAGCGTTTTGGCAAACTGGACCAGTTAGCGGCGATTAATTTTAGCGATTTTTACCTTCCACCGAAAATCAAAGAATTTTATTTTACGAAGCCTCGGAGTGCTGGGCGCAGAGTGCATGAAGAATGAGAGAAGAAATCAAAGAATGAAAGAAGGAATGTAAGAAGGAATCAAGGCATCAAAGAGAACCATAAGGTAAGTACTAGTACTGAGAGAAAGGATGGCACGTTCGAAGAGGGATCATCGGAAGACTTTCTCTTCGAACTGCTGAGCCACTGCGATACTCATCGCGATAAAATTCAGAAGACTTCTTCGAGCAGTACAACGCTAAAATCTACGCAACAGCAAGCTGGCAAAACGCTCCAAGAAGTTCAACAACACTTTCCACAACCATACTGGCCAACCCTCCCGTTTTTCCCGGGAAAATCCCGGAAAATCAACACTCCTCCCGGGGTCCCGGGGATTTCAAGCAAACTCCTGGAAAAACCACAGTTTGTCGGATACAGGATTTTCCTGAAAACTCCATGGATTCGCCCCGAATGTCCCGGTTTTTTGAACTTTTTTTAAAGGTATGTACGGTGCTCATTCGCACTTCGAACTGTGCACAGCACTTTCAAGACCTTACCATGCCTAGCCTGCAAGATCTGCACTGACAAAGTGACAGGCGGGCGCCGACTGATCAAACTGCACTACAGGGTCGAACTGTGCTGTGCGCAGAGCTGCAGAGTCGAACGTTTTTTGGCGGGAAAACTCTTTTTCACTTGTTTTTGTGCCATCCAGGGATTTTGAGAGAAATCCAGGGATTCTACATGTCTTGTCAAGGGATTGTGATTGTGGTGGTTGGTCAGTATGCACAACACTGAGACATTCTCCAGTCGATCGTTTTATTCTCTTCTGGGTTCAAGTCGCCGTACTCCAACGACAACTAATGTTTGTTACTTGCAAGACTGGTGTTGGTACGTAACCCGTCGTTGCAACAGCTGCGCTCTTTGGTTGGACATAGCCGGCCGTGCAAGCATCGATCAGCGCGGTGAGTGTACAGTCAGTGCAGTGAGTGATACATGCGCGCGCACGTACTGACTACTGTACAGATCTGTTGCAAAACGATCGATCATCGACGCATCGATCGCGTAGTACAAATTTCATATTCGCGTGTCAAACTTTCGCGATTCGACCCTGCTCGCGAAAGTCGCGAAAGTTAATCGCTCGCGAAAGTTTGTCGTTTTACAGTAGTTGTTTCAAGGTGGCAAATTAAGTCAGCATACCAACCTGTCCTTCTCGGATGATCTGCTTGACTGTTGTGCAACTTATGAGACAAATACAATTGAAATAAATGAAAAATACGAAGGATACATAGACAGGTTCGTGTGACTTCATCAACGTGTGCACGCATAATTTCGACCCCACCGCTTACTAGACAGCAATAAAAGGTGTAGAAGTAGTTTCATGATCTCCAGTAAAAGGTAGCACCGAGTGATCATCACCGAAAGACCTTGAACTACTGAAGAAACAAAGAATTGAAGCTTCAATTGGCAAACCTGTCATAGCATTTGGGCGCATTCTGTACTACTTTGTACTAGTTTATATTTTTTTAAAGCACGAGCTCCAGTGTGGGGTGCAAATATTATTTTGCTACGTTCAATGTCCGCCTCACTAATTCATCGCTGTAAGGAAACTGTTGTCTCTGTATTGCTTATTTCTGGCGCTCTTACTCTCTCAGGTTAAATTCAAGAAGGATGGCTATTCTTGGAAACGGAGGAAAGATGGCCGCACCCCTCGAGAGGATCATATGCGCCTAAAAGTGTTTGGTGTTGAAGTAAGTCGTTACTCCTGTTTACGCAGAGCAGTAGGGGCACAACACTACTTCTACTACTTCTATTTGCTTCTGATGCCAGTCCCTCTGTTTGTAGTCCATTGATTTTAACACAGGGTAGAAAGATGTTCGCCGGGGATATAAGTAGAGCACATGTATACAATATGCTCTTTGTGCATTGAGCACTTTGCCGGCAATTTGCCAACATTTACTCCTTTACAATATGCACCTGTATGTTTTGGCATTCTGTTCCTATTACTCATGTGGCTGGCGACTGCATCCCGTGCAAAAGTGACTGCCAGTGTACACATGCGGGTTTGCATACATGAGCATAGGGCCGGTGCTTCATCGAGGACCATAGACACCTTCCTTCCTGTGCTTTAGCTGCACTTCCTGCTGCTGCTAATGCTGATACTGCTACGGCTACACACCTGTTCCATTGAAGTGAGTTCTGATTGTGGAATGGAACACTGCTCTCCTTTAGCAGACATTGAGGCGACAACAGTCTTAGATTCACAATCAAGAGGACAAGCTGAATCGATTCGACGTGTGGTTACTTTGTTCAAGCAGTGCCAGCTGATGGAAACAATGTGCAATAACAACGCTACGTCTTCCTCCGGTTCATAAAATTGTCGCTCTCGTTTTTATTTGCTCATAGAGCTGGGATTATTTTATTGAAACTGAGGGAGGATAAGAGTTCATTTTTGTTGCATTGTCCATTAGTACCGTAAAGTACCGTTGATCCGTCCCCCACGTTTCGTCGCTACCCTGCTGGTTTTTCGGCAGGGGCAGGAATTAGATCAATTCCAAGTGCAGTACGATGTACAACAAAGCAGAAGATCAGGCCTGGTATGCTGGTCTGTGCACATTTTCATCCTGCACTGGCACGTATTGTGGACAGCAGTACATGTGTCAGTTCAACATCGTATTTCATTGTATACGCCGACGTCGCTTCGCAAGCAACAAATCATCATGTATCAATGCTTTGGCACGTTGCAAATGGGTGTGTAACTACATGACATTGTGTAGTGTATCAGCTGACAGTGGTCACATGACATTGTGTAGTGTATCAGCTGACAGTGGTCACTTTGTGTTCATGTGTTTTCTCCCTTCAGTTGCTGTACGGCTGCTATGCTCATTCGGCGGATAGTGCATCATTTCATCGGCGTTGCTACTGGCTTCTTCAGGTAATTGTCCAGGTGCATGAACGCGGTTGTGTGCGTGTATGTGTACACTCGGACGTCTCTTATCCGGGCACCTTGGGACCGGGCACTGCCCGTATCTCAGATTTGCCCGTATCTCAGAATAACACATCTACCATGTATCATATCATTTTTGAAGAAGTTTATTTGGAACGTATTGCACATGTTCAGGATACAAAAGGAACCCATTGATAAAAATGTGTGGATTACATAGGTTGGCAGCGAGAAATAAGCACTTCCTCATACGGAAAAAAGTTCAAAACCCCCAAATTCGAAGCATTTGTGCTATAGGAACTCAAGCTGAAGGTGCCCGGTAGAGAGACGTGCCCGTATCTGAGGCGTCCGGATAAGAGGCGTTTGAGTGTACTGTCAACAGCAACTCCTCTACCTAGTCTTCGTTTCTATTGTAAAACAAAATCACTACGAATGGCATGATAGAGCCTCCACTGTTTATTTCCCAACTAATTTGTCTTCTGCCCAGTCCATTTTAGGCTATGGCAATCTTGCAGCCTTTCTGTGTGTCTTTAATACCGTAAAATTCCGTTAATAAGCCCCGGGCGTATACTTTGCAGAGTTTCGAAAACCGGGTGTATATTTGGGCATGGGCTTATTTTAGGGCATGGGCGTTATTTCGGACGCAATCTGCTGAAGATCAATCTATCAGCAACCCACTATTTTCAGTAAACCACCATTCACACTGAGCGCGGTACACGTACATGTACATCAAACCACGGCTGGAAATTTGGTGGTAACCAAGAATGTTGCGATAACTAAATTACAGATTTGATAGGTAAACCACTTGCTATGCATGGTAAGTACAAGGCACAACAGGTACCGGCATGGCTGAAAACGTACAGTTTGTACGCGAACGCACGCTCGCGCGCTGGTCATTTTGAGTCCACTTCACGCCCTGGGCTTATTTCGGGCATGGGCGCTAAAACGGACTTGAAGTGTACACCGCCTAAAACTGGGCTTATTATCGGACATGGGCGTTATTTAGGGTGGGCTTATTTACGGAATTTTACGGCATGTATTTTCTTTACCAATATTGTATTGTTTCAGACGCCAGCGATAGTATTAGTTCACTACTTGGATGTGCCTTCGGAAGACAAATCCTTGTCAGGGATATCGGATACCGATCTTCTGCAGCTTGTCATGTCCAAACCATGCCTGCTGGATAAGCTACGCACCCGTGAGTTTGTCTCCGTCGCTTTCTTGTACATTCCACGCGATAGCATGGGAAACCTATCAAGGGAGAAAATCTGCCTCAACCAATGTGCATCATTGCGATTTTAAATGGAAAGCCAACAAGAAAAATATTCAAACCTGTGGATATTTTATGACTTTGGGCTCCCGAGTTGTAGTTTGTACGTGAAGTGTGTGGGTTACGGTGAGGGTTGTGTCCCACTCACCTGTGTGGATTCACAGGAAGCGTGAGTTGCGAAGTCTGAGGGAAATGTTGAACGGTCTCTGCTGGGATGACAGCTACACCATAGCTCAGTGGTTAGAGTATCGCTGACCTCAAGCCAAGGTCCCTGGTTAGAGTCCTGCTGGTGGCAGCCAATATTTTCTTCAGACTTTTCCTGTTTGCATCTTTCCCTCAAAGAGAAATAGATGGTGGGTGTTATCATTTGAATTCTAGCAGGGTGCCTGGATGTTTGTGTGAGTAAACATCCGGTAATATCGTTAATGTCCACGGTACACAATCAATCTTTTGGTTATTGAATATTAATATTATTTTCAAAGATGAACCTGGTCTCGACCCACCGCCCAAGGCATAATTAAAATTATAGATACTCGAAGTAGCTTTTAAGCTTGCAATGCCTCACCCCCATTCTCTCTCTCTCTCTCTCTCTCTCTCTCTCTCTCTCTCTCTCTCTCTCCCTCTCTCTCTCTCTTTCTCCTTCAGTCCCTGCTACCCGATAGTTGTTGGAATCATGTAGCATTGATCACACTCTTTAGTCTTTATTTCCTGAATCCACTTAAAGGGGAAGTTAAGGCAAAAATTAAAATTTCACCAGTTGTAGTCTTCGGGGTGCTGAGTCGAATGGTCTTGGTCCGAGGAAGCTGAGACGCTCCCTTCCTACTTGAATCCCAATCGAACTCGCGCACTTCCACCGAAACTGGGTGACTGCGCCCTACGAGATGGGGATTTGTATGCAAAATGTCACTAAAAGCGCCATTTCGTTCTTATAAAAGCACGGATGACCGCGATTGGCCCATATGTTGTAGTCTTTGGGACGCTGAGTCGACTGGTTTTGGTCCGAAAAGGCTGCGATGCGGCGTTCCTCCTTTATTCCCAATCGAACATGGTTGAAGAAGCGGTCACGTGCTCCTGCGTACACCAGTCACCTGGTCACCGTGCCTGCAGGGTACAACTTACTAGCCTGTTTGACCTTTTTTGGGTGCAGTCCTGTCACTCGAGTTGAACCCGAGTTGAACCTTGGTGTGAAAGTTGTCACCTGCTGGCGTGGTGACCAGGTGATTTGGGCACCCAGGACCACGTGACCGCTTCTTCAACCATGTTCGATTGGGAATAAAGGAGGAACGCTGCATCGCAGCCTTTTCGGACCAAAACCAGTCGACTCAGCGTCCCAAAGACTACAACATATGGGCCAATCGCGGTCATCCGTGCTTTTATAAGAACGAAATGGCGCTTTTAGTGACATTTTGCATACAAATCCCCATCTCGTAGGGCGCAGTCACCCAGTTTCGGTGGAAGTGCGCGAGTTCGATTGGGATTCAAGTAGGAAGGGAGCATCTCAGCTTCCTCGGACCAAGACCATTCGACTCAGCACCCCGAAGACTACAACTGGTGAAATTTTAATTTTTGCCTTAACTTCCCCTTTAATGACTATGCACCATAGGTACGTATGTGCACTGTCCGACTTTGAACTACTTTCGGTTCATGATATGATACCTTCAAGTGGATAGTGAATTAGTGATAAACAAATGGCTTTACCCGTTGTAGTTATTCTTTGGTACAGTACCTTGCCTGCTGTTGGGAAATTTTGAGAACGTGATATTCTTTACACTGCGTGTTTGCATTCTCCTGTGTGTGTCTATGCTCAGAGCTGACGCCTGCTTTGTCCTCACTCTCCGCGTGCCCGGATGTCCCGCAAATCAACCACTCTGCCTCGCCACGCTCGTCACCAATTTTGAAACACCCTTTGCAGCAACAGCAGCAGCCGCACACGCCGGTTATGCTAGAGCCACTAGCGCATGCTATGAACACCGAGCCCTCTCCGTCCGTTACCATTGAAGAGATGATGCGGGTAGGCGAGTTGGCCCGCGATGTGGCTAGCTTGGGTTCTCGCAGCAGCTGCAGTGTTCCTAGTAGTCCACAAATGATGCCCGGCCAGCATAGTCCCGTATCGCTAGCGAGTGATACTACTATACTTCGACAACCCGAAAGCTGGCCACACTGCGACAGTCCAACGCCTATGCGTACGCCTGGCCAGAACGCAACCATACTGCAGCAACCACATGGTTCACCATCAGCCGTGGAGATCCTTGACTTCTGCCCCGATTGGTCGTACCCGGAGGTCAGTCTCGCTCAATCTTCTGTCCGTTGTAAAAAGTTATCACCAAGGGTACATTACCCCACGTGTATGCAACTCTGGTGTCTGAGCTGTGGGTGCTGTGCGTGGCGCAGTTTCATCACGTAGTTAAGACACTCATGCTGACTGAATTTGAATTTTCCTTTGGTTTGGGCACAGTGATTTCATGCATACTGTGGAGTCAATGGCAGTACCTGTACAGGACACATCACACAGAATATCTCACGAAGTATCCCGGAAAACGAACTTGGAAGCTGGAAACCGTAACAATCTAATGATGACACAACAGCCCAGGCGGGACCCCATTTCAGGGCTACGTAATGTGGGCAGCGCGCCACGCCAGATCGCATGTACAGAGTTGCATACTACATACTGGCAAGATTACATAACCCCAAGTATGTGCAACTGCCTGCACAACATCTAAACAGTGCTGCGACGGCAGAACTTCACACATCACTTTACATGGTTCAAAAGGTTATGCTGGCAAACAGTGCAATGTGACCACAAGACTGTCGCCTCGGGATAATGCGATTCCGCGGACGCGCAATTTTCCGCGTTTTCAAGAAATTTCGTATAAACCCCACATTATCCAAGGGAATGTACAAGAAAATAGTACATGATAGTGAAAATGTACTACAAAGTCATACCCGCAAACGAGTTTGTATGGCAAAGTTGTATATTTTTATATGGCCTGTTTTCACCCGCATATTATGAACATATTAAATTTTAGGATTTTGTCCGCGTTATTCTGTGGGGACAGACAAGAACGTTGAACCCAACGAAGGGTTGCAAAAAATCCTGTAACTACCATGCACAGGGTGCAACTACATGTATTGTGTTCGGGTTTGTCACGTAAATCGATTGCCGACCCCATAGCTGGAGTTACACACTCTTGGAGGTTACACATAGGAAAGAGAACGAGGTTTGTTTGTCCATATAAGATTGGTTTCAAGTAGTCCCCATTCCATTGTTACGTAGATTCACTGATGAATGTAACAAGAAAACCGTTCTGAACAAATCCTCTTTGCTATCATCGTTTCACATTTCTACTCATACATGTTGACATAATTATAGGAAATGCTTACAGCGAAACTATTAGTCCCCCTTGGTGCCATATAGAAAGAGGTCCGTACCTTTTGGAGGGTTACACTCTTGATACTGCCAGTACTATTGGGGTTACGGACTCTTTGTCATCAACAGCCTACTGGATCCCACACAATGCATGCTTTTCTACACTAACAGCAGCACGGTCAGTAATATTGTTTGAAAGATCAGGTATATTGCGTTCCAGCAGTGTATCCGTATCGCTGTGATTTGTCTCACAAACTGTACCTCTGTAACTCTGTGTATCATCGATGTTTGGGCTGTTCTCTTAGGGTGGTACCAAAGTGGTGATGACAGGTACCATGCCCGATCGAGCCGACTATGGGCTGGCTTTCGGTGATGAATATGTACCTGCAACCGTCGTCCAGCCTGGAGTGCTGCGTTGCTTCTGTCCACGTGAGTACATGTGCATGTAGCCTGTTTTGCTTGACACCGATAAGACTGATGCTACCCAATCACAGCAAGTAGAAACATGCTGTGCTATCATTTTTCAACCTTGGCCTTCCATTTGGCATGTGCTTGACTAAATCAGATTTTCAAATTGGCCCGAAATGTTTGGGATCATGTGAAGTATGCCGTGTCTTCAGTGTGCCGTGTAGTGATGAAATGGCCAAAAAAAAGTAGCGGGTCAACAATGACTCACCATCAATATGTGGAGTAATGAGCACCCCAAAATTGGACATTTTCGGGACTTTTGCTCTAATTACCACTTATTTTGCTCAAAATGGGCCATTATGAGAAATTGGCCCGACATGTTTCGCTTATATTTTACAAATCAACTCTAGTAAAACCAAAAAAAAGTGACTGTTCACCACAAAAAAAAGTTGTTTGATTTCCTTTCCAGCTACCTTAACATTAGGGACCTGTCGCGTCTGCTGCAAATCGAATGCGAAACGAAAGTTTGATTCGGTTCGTCCTCATTTCGTTGAAAACAGATTCAGGTTTCGCAAGTCGTCATGCAAATGTCCATGGCAACTACGAATACGGCCTGTAGCTTGGCGTACGGGTGTTTACACGCACACGTGCATGGATCATGGAATCAAGGAAAAAATGTGAACCTGGCAAAGCATATGTACCTGGAAAACAAATGTGTACCTGACGGATTCGGAGCGCGCCACGAATGAAGAGGCTTCCATTCGTGAAAACGAGCTCTCCGCAGGGACTCTGACGAATCCTTGAACCCAGGTGACGAATCAGCATTCGTTTCGTATCCGAACGCGTGGTGGGAAAGGTCCCTATTATCTGTTGTGATCTTTATTCACAGTTCTTCCATTTCACTCTGCTTGTTGATGTACAGCTCACAGTGTGGGCCTCGTACCTCTCCAGCTCTACTGTAATAGTATTCCGGTGGCCAAGGCAGCTGTCTTCGATTACAAGCAGAAGCCATTCAGCCGGAACTCATCGCCAATGCACAGCCCGCACTGTGAGTACATGCACAGCAGAATCACAAGCAACCTCCCATCACGGCTTGATGTCCACCTAATTATGCTGGACATATGACATACATCTGTGCAGTTGGCTACTCGTCAACTTCATTTACCAGTATATTGAACTCCCATGCACGAAAATCCATAATCTCTCTCAACAGTACACCTGAGTACTGCAATGTGTGTACAAGATCCGTGGCATATGACCTAAAGAAAGGACACCACCTCCAAACCATGACCATGAAAGGGAGTTGGTGGTCGGGCGTTTTTGCTGTACTTTTCAACATGTACTGCTTCCTGCGTGTTTCCCCACGTTGCATCCATGATCGCAGAATATGAACAAAAGACTAACATAAGAACATTTTATAACAATGCTAGGCTGCGCATTGAGCCCCTGCATTCTTCGGTGCCCGACATTACTGTATGCAATGTAGAAATACTAGACCAAACAAATACTACAGAACTGTTGCTCAAATAAAGCACTTCTCATTTGGAGTGTTTACTAAATTAAGTGGTTGGACTAAATCGTGATTGTGCGGGTTCAAACCCCAGATCTTGCATGTGGGAACTTTTTCAGAATGTTGATTTTGTGCATCCTCTATCTTACCCCACGTTTCCTGCTTTCCCACAGGTAATGTGTTATTATGTAGAGGTATACAACTGTTTCTGGTACTTACCGCATGCTTCTAGTCACCATGGTGATTTTGATAGGCGTGTCAATGTGCCAGGGTACATCATTTCTTTTCTTTTTCGTAGAACCGGTATTGCCATAAATCAGAAAGAAGGTCAACGGGACTTGATAGCAATTATGTATTTGCGATCTAGTTGATACCAGTGCTCTAGATTCTACAATCAGTTGTAATCAGTTCTGTTTTTGTGTATCTGGATCGCAATGTGCACAGGCTTGCGCTTGAACTCATCAGACCAAGAGATGCAGTTCGCAATGGACGACTCAGTTCATGTCAAAGCAGAGCCAGGTAGTGGCTTTGACCAGGTAAGCTTGTTTGATGCGACGATGATGACTTAAACTTAGTGCTGAACCTATGCCGTATTATCTCTGTCTTTTATTTTTCAGCCACCTGTGCCATGCTTGTCAAGGCTATTTTGGCTCACCACGTCGGCCTTGTGATAACCCATGTGTATACTTCAGCTGCACTTTCCTGACACCTTTCACTCGATCGCACCTGAAAACATGTATAACACATGCCATGCCTTGTGTCTCATTTATACGTGTGCTTGGCTTTCTTGAAGTAGCAGCAAACAAGCCTTGATTGTCCTTGTTGTTCTGTTCTGTACGTGTGCTTGGTGTAGTTCACATTCGTACCGCCGCTGGCAGATGTAAGCAGCCACAGCACCGACTCAATGTGGCATGGTCAGCATTTGTCATCACTTGACTGCTCGTCACGGCACAACAGTACGGGCACTCAGAGCAGCTTAACGCTTTCCTTGACGACGCCTCCAGAGTCGGACTCCTCTTTTCACAACACCATCAGTGCTACGTCGTCATCCACATCGGTCGGCTCGATATTCGATGATCCAGAGGCTCCGTCTGTGGCAGAGTGGTGTGAGGTGTTGAGTGATGGCCGGAACGTACTGCATGAGGATTTCAATCGACTTGACCTGTCGGGTAAGCCACTTATAGGCCATTCACACGACGTGCAAACACATGCACGCGTGTGACCAAGAAGTCACTTGCAAACCCTGATCCAGTTCACACGATGTTGGGCAAACTTGCAGGCGTCAATGTATCCATAGTGACCTCCTGGAAATGCAGGGAAATTTAATTTTTGAATTTTCCCATTTGAAATAATAGTGCCTTTGCAGCGCGCACTTTCAACAACACTTTGCCGGCGTGCAAAGTATAATCATGAGCACAAGGGCCCCGGCCAAGTTCAAAAATCAGCTGCACGCCTGTGTCCAATTTTATCGCATACGAGTAAACATCCTTGGAAACGGTACGATAAAAGTGAGTTTGCACGTCTTGTGAATGGCCTATAAAGTTTGATTTTGATGGCTTCCTTTCGACCTGACATCGACATCGTTAGATGTCCCGGGATGTGCAACCTGGCATATGAGAGCTGCGAGGCAAAATTCAGCGCTTATGTCATTGTTGTCAATGTAGAGTGAAACTAATGCCGTGGGTCGTGCAAATCCCTTTACCTGTTGTGATTTATGGCCACCGTGGCCAATCGGAAATAACGTAAAGGGCATTTTTTGCTTTTCCGATCTGGCATCAACATTTCAAGCTTTTGTAATGATTGCTGTTGACCAATACCAGTGCCAGTATGACTATGCAGCAGCCAGTATACTGTTCTGTGTAGGAAGGCACACATGCTTGCGCTGCACTCTTGTAGAACATCAGGGCGTTATCTCCACTTTATCATTGAGCTCTCCTTTTCGACCTAGAACGTGGCGTGGCTTGTATACCACTGCGGTGCCTTCTGTTCCCACGGTAGCTTTTGTGTGCCTATAATCTAGATTGGCTGGTTCATAATTTCTATTGATGTGTATCTTTTCTTCTCCACCGCAGTCACTGAAACACAACAGCTGTTCTTGGCGGCATCCACAATTCAGTCAGCGTTCCGAAAATACAGGGTTAGTTTTGCGACAGTGCCTTGTGCATTGTCAGCCAGTGCTAGTGCAAAGCCATGCAATAGCCTCCTGTCTGGACTAGGAAGTAGGAACTACTGCTGAAGCCTAGAATGACTCCGGCTTAAGCCTAGTTTCTGGACCCTGGTGGACTGGGTTACTGTAAGACCAGATATTTTAACATCAATTATGGGGGGGGGGGGGGTGCATGGCGCCCAGCATGAACCTTTTCATGAGGTCAGACTTCATTGCCTAGATGATGATGATGTACCTGTGCGATGAACCCCCACCACCACTGCCAGCTCTTGTGCGTGAATGGGTGATTGGGGTTAAACCCAGTTGGACCATAGGGCGAATACCCTAATGTCATCAATACTTTTCTGCACCTTGTCCACTGACTGTGGTGTGGTGAGTCTGTAAGTGAGACCATTTCCGAGTCCAGCCGGAGTGTGTTGATTTGGGGTGTCGGACCGTTCAATAGCCAGTTTTCTTTCAAGATCCCTTTCCAATCTCTTTCTCCTCTTCTGGGAGACCCCATGGGACCAGTTTCTGGCAGTGAGTAAATGACAAGATGTCTGTCTTTGTGTGTGTGTCTGTGTGGGTGTGTGGGTGTGTGTGTGGGTGTGATCACTCGTCCCAGGTTTTGTTTTAATTTTGTTCTTTTCAACACCTTCCCTCTGTACTCTGTTATTCTCTTTCGATCACATTCTCTCTGGCTCTGTCCTGTGGTCACTTCTGGGCTTTTCTCCGTTTTCAGAGAAAGACCAAGGAGGAGGAAAAACAGAACAGCGCTGCTGTGCTTATTCAAAGTTGGTATCGTCGCTATAGGGTAAGTGATTAACTATACTTATTAGTCTAAATGCCCATTAATTTGCAGCCGTTGAGATTGAAGTTTTGTCTGATTATCCTGGTTATTGTCTGTGTTATGTGCTGTTTCTGGCTAGCCCTGAGGGCACTCAGGGTTGAGACCTGTAGGGACTGCGGATGCAGCTGTGCATGCCACATGTAACCATGCAGTGCCTACATTATGCTAATACCGGTACAGTCAGACCTCGCTTAATTAACCGCACACATCCGTTTTCCACAAAACCATCCGAATAGGCGAGGGAATTGAATAACCAAACCCGGTTTTGTTGGATGCACCCCGTATGCTGTAAATCTGTAACCAGCTATTTTCTTCCGGATGGTGAAGGATCCGGATAAAAGAGGACCGGATAAGCGAGGTCTGACTGTACTTGCTTTATTACAAGTTACCATGGTTACACATGTCACAATAATTTGCTAGTTTGCTTTTCACAACATTTTCTGTACCTGTCTTTATCGGCATGTTTTTGCTTCCTGCTTCTACCACTGCAGCATGTCACAGCTGCGAAGAAACAAGAAACGTGAGTTTACCTACCGCATGTGCTCACTGCTCCAGTGCCTGTGTGTGTGGGGGGGGGGGGGGGGGGGAGGTATTTCTCCCTGTTATGCATCTTGGGGGACAGTGATATTAGAATTAAATATGGCTGATCCATGCCAGCTTCTGCTTCTGCGAAGGTAGTTTGTTTGAGATGTTTTGAGCTGGCGCTGTGTGGATGTGTTATCACTGCGATGCCTTTGACAAGTATCATTACTACAGCTCTTTGGGTACCAGTAGTTTACGATTTCGAAGACTAGGGAAATCTACCCATGTCCCTGAATGTTCCCGTTGCGATCCACTATCTACTTGTGCTCTGTACTGATGTTCTGGCTACATGTGTACGTAGAGTTCTGTCTCCTGCTGTACAGGTCAGGTGGCATTGCGAGCCATAAATCTATTGCGAGCAATCCAACATGCACATTCAATGTGTTGTCTTGTTTGCCTCTTGTCAATTTGGTGGCATTGCGAGCCATAAATCTATTGCGAGCAATCCAACATGCACATTCAATGTGTTGTCTTGTTTGCCTCTTGTCAATTTGGTGGCATTGTGAGCCATAAATCTATTGCGAGCAATCCAACATGCACATTCAATGTGTTGTCTTGCTTGCCTCTTGTCCATTTGCTGCAGCGTGCGTGCTGAGGCAGAGACTATGGCTGCAATGAAGATTCAGCGCTTCTTGCGTCGTTCCATGCAGAAGAGAAGTCGAGGGTAAGTCCATTCACAAGTATGCTCAGTGCTATACGTTGCTGTCGGGCGCCGACGAACGAACAGGCTAGAATTTCACCAAGCACAGCGTATCAATATTATACGGGCTGTCACTCAACTGCGCATAGACTGCAGAACATGAAAATAAGAACGGCCCAGGCTAAGACGCTGATCCCTTGTTCTTTGTCACCTGTCAGTGCTGTACTACATAGTAACTTAACAGGCCGACCCGAACCGTTGTCTTATTGACCTGTAGTGTGTCGTTTCTTGCGTGGTGTACCATATTTCCTTGAACAACCGCCACCCCTGGTTACCAGCCACCCTTGAATAAGCGCCGCCGATCTCTTTGAACTGCAGGCTATTTGTACGCACCTGCACATGGCAGTTTACAATTTGAGCGCCATTTTACCACTATTGGATACCCTTCAACAATGTCGTGCTCCTTCACGTGCAGCCGTTGCTGCTCTTGCCTCATGCAAGAGGACAACAAAAGCGATTGTCACAGGTGAACCAATTCACAACGGTATTACGATCGCTCACATACAACAATTTAAACCATGACTTCTCCTCTGTCCATGCAATAGGATAAACCAGCGGCCATGGTCAACATCAAAGCTCCCCATGTTTTCCAGTGAATAGGCATGCTTCCCGTCAAAGACTTTTATCTGGTATTTTTCTTCTCATAAAGAGCAGAAGGTCAAATTTTAACTTTTGAACACTAGTTCCTACTTACAATTGCTATGCCCATATTTCTGCTGCTCTATTTATATAAACTGGCGGCCAGTTCTCAATGTTTTTAATATGATTTGAAAGTCGTCTTCTAACCGTGTCTCTTTTGTGAACAATCTTCTGTTTCTAGCCTAGTCTCATCGAGCATGCTACCACAGTGTTGGTTTAGCTTTATACCATGCCGTTTGCAGCACTGCTGCGCTGTTTTTTATAGCCCCGGCGTCTCTCTCTTTCTCTCTCTCTCTTTCTTTCTTTCTTCTTCTCTTACCTGCCTCTTGTACCCTTTCCTTTCTTTACATCATGGGCGCACACACGCGCGTGCGCATACGCATACACACGGGCACACAGCGCTCTCGCCCTTCTTAGCCATCTAGTCATGGTTGTTGCCTGTTTGTGATGGCCATCTCCAAGGCAGTACGCAAGCGGCTGATTTATTCTAGAGAACCCGGTCACTGTGTGGATACGCGCATCCGCAGCAGCCATTACTCTCGCACACTTCAGCATTGAAGATACTTTGTTCACTCGCACTGAACCACACTCTGGTAGCACGCGCACTCAATGTTGGCTTGCGCACCGCGCTTGATAGAAGTCGTCAGCCTCCAACCGATCTATGTCTTCTCTCAACGCCTTTGTCTGCCGCATCTTTCATTTCAGAATTCCGGCGTCAGCCACTTGCACTTATATGCTTTTACTCTGCTCAGTCGTCTCGTTCAGCTTGCAACTGTTGCTGCTTTCAGTATGCCCATCTGCACACTTAGGCACTGATTCGTGGATTCGGCATGTCTTGTGTAACTTGAAATTTAATCTTTTTTCTCCTTTCTCCATTGTTTTTTTGTTGTTGATTTTTACCTGTCTTTTTCCCAATACTAGAGTACATTGTTCTGAACTGAACTAGCCATATGAGGACCTCCATGCCTTAGTGACCTATATTATAATAATGCCTGCCTTTTCCGCTTAGTCTCGAGAACAGTCTGGACAGATCTATATCCATCCTGTGCATAATCTATACAATGCATCGCTGTTCTTCCAGTTGCTCTATATACATGGTTTGTCCGATTCCCAGTTGAGGTCATGTACATCTTTGCAATGACGATAGATACTAAACTGTCTTTTCTCCTTGCTGAAATATACACCGCACTTCTGTGCAACGTGCTATTCACCTGTACATCTCAGCTGTCGGTGGGTATGCGTGTGCGTGTGGGCTGTGTGCGTGTTTATTCCGATCTCACAAAAGGGAGAGCTCAGAATAGTCTTTGAGTTTTCTTCTCCACGCTAGGGTCACATGCAGTGGATCTCTCACGATGTTGGCAAAACGTTGCAAACAAACTTTTTCTGATTGAAGATTCTGCAACAAATGTACAGTCAACTTCGCTAATAACGACTGCGGATATAATGACAATTCGCGAATAACGACAGAATTTCCATGCCCAGAACAAAGTCCCATCCAACTGTAATACCTATGAGACTTCGGGTATAACGACAATTCGCGAATAACGACACTTTTTTGATGCCCCACCGAGTGTCGTTATAAGCGAAGTTGACTGTATTGGTATGTGCGCTGGTGCATCTTGGCTGACATATGCTAAGCACATGTGACGTCATCAGTCCCTCGCTCTGCTGTGCTCCCGCTCGATCACTAGAGAGGTTGCGCACAACGAATTAATTCGTAGCGCCGTAACGAATATTTTTAACGAAAAAAGCTAACGAATATTCGTAAAGCGTGAGGTTGCGCACAACGCGTGAACGTTTTCGTAGTGGGTCGACGCGGCAGCCCCGCGGGTACGAAGAGTCAAGACAGGGAGTTGTAAAATATCAGCATTTTAGTACTCCAGGTAACGAAAAATATTTTCGTAGATTTGCTCTGTTTCGGTCACGTTTGGACGGATCTTCGGAGCAACTTTCGTTACTCGAACCCGGACGGTCGAAATCTAACGAATTTTCGTTGTGCGCAACCTCTCTACTTCTGGAGACTTGAAAACACGTACCGTACTTCCGAAGTATAAGCTGCACGTTAGGGGCATGTTCGATTGGTAGGATCGAGATCCAGATCTCAGATCCGTTGGATCCTTCCAGAGTCAACTGAACACTTTATTTTGCCATTTTTGGGCCTTAGCAGTTGCCATGTTGTCGAAGTAATAAAATGGCGCTCACAGGTCACCCAGATCAGAAGGGTGAAAGTCGTACTCATCGCGCGCGCGCGCGCGTTGTACGAAAAATTGAAAAGTCAACAAGATTTATCTCGACCCACGTGTGTGCGTACCACACGTGTACAAAAATGATTTTTACCCGCCATATACGCCCAAAGGTCACATTTGGATCCGTTGGATCCGGGCAACCCTGCTCCCCGAGGTGGGTTGACCGGATCCAAATCCAAAGGATCCGGAATTCCGGATCCGGATCGGAGATAACATTTCAATTATGTTTTTCGGTGAATCTCGGTCACAGCTAAGCTTCTTCGTTCGGTGCCGGCTCGCGTATGCACTACTGCGTTCTGCAATCGCTAGTTTATGTGGACATCGGCAGCGGGCACTACCTTCCGATGCCAGTTCAGCTGTGTTGGCCGTGTCCAGCTGTCACATTCATTGAAAATCAATTCTTGTTCTTGCCCTTTATAGCAGAGTTAGTCTCGCTCTTTTCAGTATTTTTCTCTGTTGTTTTGTCTCTTCAACCTTTGACACGAATGAGCACATATTAATGCATCCGGGACGACTATGAAAAAAAAAGAAAGAGAAAAGCGCTAGAGCAACTTACGCAATACATGGATAGCGCCAGTCACATGGAATCCCTCCCTGCAGTTCAGTTTGCGTACCGCAAAAACCACTCCTGCGACGATCTTCTCGCTCTGGTGGCAAATGATTGGAGTCAAAGTCTAGACCAGAACGAGTATGTGGCTGCGGCTTTCCTCGACATGTCCAAAGCGTTCGACACTGTCAACCACAGTTTGCTCCTCCAAGAACTGTTCGAGATTGGTGTGGGAGGGGTTGCACTGCGTTGGTTTGCATCATACCTTACTGACCGCCAGCAGAGAGTTGTCACCAAGTCTAGCAGAGGTGCCTGTTATTCTGCCTCCAGAGGTGTACCTCAAGGATCTATCCTTGGACCTGTCTTGTTCAATCTTGCTGTCCGCAAACTGCCAGAGTGTGTTGCTAGTACCAAGGTCCGTCAGTTTGCTGACGATGTTTCTGTCTACAAATCCGGAAGGGATCCACAGAAGCTCACTGCAGACTTGGCCAGAGACGTTCTGTCAATCCGCAACTTCCTCCGGGACCACGGCCTTAAACTCAACGCGGAAAAGACACAGTTCATCATATTCCGCCCAAAGTCCAAGGCTGTCCCAGCTAATCTCCAATTGTCAATTGATAGCACTAGCATACCGCCTTCAGCCACAATAAAATACCTCGGCCTCCTGTTCGACGAGCATCTTACGTACCGAGATCACATCACGCTCCTGGAACGCAAGATAGGCACTAAACTTGCTGTGTTCAGGAAAATCAAACACAATCTAACACCTGCTGCCAAACGAGTCTTTTACTGTTCCTTCATTCAGGCCCAACTTGAATACGGCTCTAATGCATTTGCGCACAGCCTCCAAGTCTCGCAAATGGACCGCATTACTCGTATATCTAACCGTGCTGTTCGGATTGTCTTTGGCTACCCGAAGTACTACGATGCTTCTCTTGTTCTAGCTAGGAACTATCTCGCTGCTATTTCCCTTAGATATCAATTTCGCCTGTTTGTACTGGTGTTTCGAGCCCTCCATAAGCTATGCAGTCCACTGCTCTCGACCTGCTTCCTCCCTCGCACTGCCACTTCACAAACCTCAGCCCATACACGCTCTCAGTCCACTTTGTCACTTAGTCTTCCTTTAGCTTCTCGCCGCTATGGTTTATACTCGCTTAGCTTTCTTGGTTCCGATCGTTGGAACGCGCTTTCTGCTGATATTCGCACAATCTCCTTGCTCAGAAACTTCCGTTCATCTATTCAACAATTCATAGGGTACCCTGTAAAAAGGCCCTAGGCCTGTGGGACTGCCCTATTCAAAATTTAATAATAATAATAATAATAATAATAATAATAATAAAAGGCATACAACCCCAACAACCGGAGAGGACGACAACAGCAGCGGCTTTTTCGGTAAAATAGCTTACCCGGGCAGTCCAGGACCGGGGTCACTGCCCGTAACTTCGAAATGTCCGTAACTCCGAATCACATACTTCATGTACTTAAAGGGGAAGTTAAGGCAAAAATTAAAATTTCACCAGTTGTAGTCTTCGGGGTGCTGAGTCGAATGGTCTTGGTCCGAGGAAGCTGAGACGCTCCCTTCCTACTTGAATCCCAATCGAACTCGCGCACTTCCACCGAAACTGGGTGACTGCGCCCTACGAGATGGGGATTTGTATGCAAAATGTCACTAAAAGCGCCATTTCGTTCTTATAAAAGCACGGATGACCGCGATTGGCCCATATGTTGTAGTCTTTTGGACGCTGAGTCGACTGGTTTTGGTCCGAAAAGGCTGCGATGCAGCGTTCCGCCTTTATTCCCAATCGAACATGGTTGAACAAGCGGTCACGTGCTCCTGCGTACCCCAGTCACCTGGTCACCGTGCCTGCAGGGTACAACTTACTAGCCTGTTTGACCTTTTTTGGGTGCAGTCCTGTCACTCGAGTTGAACTCGAGTTGAACCTTGGTGTGAAAGTTGTCCCCTGCTGGCGTGGTGACCAGGTGATTTGGGCACCCAGGAGCACGTGACCACTTGTTCAACCATGTTCGATTGGGAATAAAGGAGGAACGCTGCATCGCAGCCTTTTCGGACCAAAACCAGTCGACTCAGCGTCCAAAAGACTACAACATATGGGCCAATCGCGGTCATCCGTGCTTTTATAAGAACGAAATGGCGCTTTTAGTGACATTTTGCATACAAATCCCCATCTCGTAGGGCGCAGTCACCCAGTTTCGGTGGAAGTGCGCGAGTTCGATTGGGATTCAAGTAGGAAGGGAGCGTCTCAGCTTCCTCGGACCAAGACCATTCGACTCAGCACCCCGAAGACTACAACTGGTGAAATTTTAATTTTTGCCTTAACTTCCCCTTTAAGTTTAAAGGGGAAGTTAAGGCAAAAATTAAAATTTCACCAGTTGTAGTCTTCGGGGTGCTGAGTCGAATGGTCGTGGTCCGAGGAAGCTGAGACGCTCCCTTCCTACTTGAATCCCAATCGAACTCGCGCACTTCCACCGAAACTGGGTGACTGCGCCCTACGAGATGGGGATTTGTATGCAAAATGTCACTAAAAGCGCCATTTCGTTCTTATAAAAGCACGGATGACCGCGATTGGCCCATATGTTGTAGTCTTTTGGACGCTGAGTCGACTGGTTTTGGTCCGAAAAGGCTGCGATGCAGCATTCCTCCTTTATTCCCAATCGAACATGGTTGAACAAGCGGTCACGTGCTCCTGCGTTCGCCAGTCACCTGGTCACCGTGCCTGCAGGGTACAACTTACTAGCCTGTTTGACCTTTTTTGGGTGCAGTCCTGTCACTCGAGTTGAACTCGAGTTGAACCTTGGTGTGAAAGTTCTCACCTGCTGGCGTGGTGACCAGGTGATTTGGGCACCCAGGAGCACGTGACCGCTTGTTCAACCATGTTCGATTGGGAATAAAGGAGGAACGCTGCATCGCAGCCTTTTCGGACCAAAACCAGTCGACTCAGCGTCCAAAAGACTACAACATATGGGCCAATCGCGGTCATCCGTGCTTTTATAAGAACGAAATGGCGCTTTTAGTGACATTTTGCATACAAATCCCCATCTCGTAGGGCGCAGTCACCCAGTTTCGGTGGAAGTGCGCGAGTTCGATTGGGATTCAAGTAGGAAGGGAGCGTCTCAGCTTCCTCGGACCACGACCATTCGACTCAGCACCCCGAAGACTACAACTGGTGAAATTTTAATTTTTGCCTTAACTTCCCCTTTAAGGCAGGATGGAGGGCTAGGGGAGGGGGGAGGGGGTGCTTTGGGTTCCGAATTGCGCCGAGTACCCTCTCAAATATATGATTTCCATCTTGGTTTGACTGAAGTTCAACATAACAAAGACCATGCATGGTATGTTCACCAATACACTCACACCTCTTACCCCAAAATCAAAATTTCACCAGTTGTAGTCTTCG